GAGGGAGGCGGTCACTGTCGGTCAGCAGATACTTTTTCAGTTTGCGGACGCTCACACTATTTACCCCCAGTCAAAAAGGAAAATTGGTGTCGGCGGCTGCAACTTTGGTTCAGAAAAAGTGAACCTGATTTGTAGCCGCCCGTTTAGTAGTCCTTCTAGCTAGTCATCAAACACCACATAGCACACACCTGTGCACCCGACACTTCGGTCCACCACCTCATCCTTGGATGAGTGGCTCTCCCGGATTCCTGTCCGTCAGTCTCCCTTATGGTCGGCTCCCTGTTAACTCATACTCTCCGTTCTGTAGAATCTCTTCATTCCCTGTCTGGGAAGGTGGGCGATGAGAAAGAAATGAAGCACCAACTTGAAAGGCAAACAACTTGAAAGAAATAGAGCAGATACCCACAACCAAGGAAAGCTACCAGAGAAAGAAGCCAGGACATGATGGGCGAGAAGAAACGAAAGCAAGAAGCTGAACCAGAGGATGTGGATATAGCTGATGATTCCAAGAAGCAGGTGAAGAAATCCAAGAAATCGAAGAAGGAAAAGAAGGAAAAGAAGTCCAAGAAATCCAAAAAGGAAAAGAAAGAAGCACAGGAACAGGAAGAGGAAGAGGCAAAAGACACGGCAGCAGATGATGAGCAGGAAATGTCAGAAGCCGAAGAAAACACCAAGGAAAAATCCACTAAAGATTCCAACAGCAGTGAAAATAAGATGAGCAAGGAGGAAGAAAAGGAAGATCGGAAACGCAAACGCGACGAAAAGAAGAAACGAAAGAAAGAGATTCTGGATCAGATTCCCAAGGTCGATGCGGACGGCATTTCCTACACCAAACAACAAATTCGACGCATGGTGAAGCGTGTAGAGCGAGGCTTGGATCCGATTCCCACTGCGGAAGAGGAAGCGGAATTGAAACGACAAGAGAAACTCTTGCAACAGGAAGAAGAATTGGAGCTTGCGGGAATGCTGTATAGACAAGAAGATGGTGACAAAGATGAGGAAGACAACGAAAAGGATGATGGAGAAGAAGATGACGAAGAAGAAGAAGAACCTGCTCCTGTCGAATGGAAACGCAACAAGAAATCAAAGCAGCAAGACAATGACGACGATGAGGATGATGCACCCAAGAAACCCACCAAGAAACCAAAACTCTCCAAGAAGCCTGTACCACCCGACTATGTTTGCCAAGCTTGTAAAAACAAGCACAAGTTTGCTCATTGGATCTATGACTGTCCCGACAAGGTCACTGTGAAAGGGACCAACCACGTGTCCGCCAAACACAGCAAGGACAATATGCCGAGTGCCAAGAAAGTCTTTGTCTCGGGACTCTTTTTTACTACCAAAGTCAACGACGTCAAGCAGATTTTCAGCTCCTGCGGCAAAGTAACTTCCTGCAAACTACTCAAGTTCCCCGACACGGGACGGTGCAAAGGGCAAGCCTTTGTGGTCTTTGATACGGAAGAAAGTGCCAAACAGGCCCTCAAGCTGAGCGGCACCAAGATATCGGCATCGGATGACGACGACAACAACAGCAAAGGCAACAAGAAGAGCAAGGCTGAGCTAGAGCTCAAGGTCCATAAGGTGATGAGCAGGTCCATGACCAAAGCCATGAAGAAGCAATGATCTGTATGTAGCATAATAATGAGCTGGTTATAGCTCTGTATTGTACTAGACTAGTAGGAGAGATTTTAGCTAGTTACAGTCTACCACGTACCTAGACCTAATCCATCAACTAGAAACTGTCGTCGTGTCATCGTAATAACAAAAGGTTTGCCTTGAATCAAAGACTCGACTCCGGGGTCAGAAATATTTCATGGCGCCAACGATTGCGTCCTGACGATGTACTCGTAGTGGGCTATGACACTATCATTGTACAACTATAGGGACTGCCGTGCCTTGCTTCAGTAGAGTGTGATCGAGTTTTTGTATATTTTGAATACTGCCAATTCTTTTGGCAGGTGCGATGCATGCCTCAACACAAGGTGAGGTGTCTTGTCGTGCGAGATCAAGACGCATACTAGCCAGTCGCTGGGAAGAGGTGAAGAAGTTGTCGACAAGACCAGGACTATGAGCAGGGCCAGTCCGTCTGTTGTCTACAGTAATCTGTGCCTTGCCATTACCAACCCTACCGTACTTTAAAGCTAAATGCTGTGAGATCAATATGTATGTCATGTTATGCGTTGTTTGCTTTATTCACAAAAGTGCTTATTAGTTATAATTATAATAGAACATCGGATGGCGGCGGAGGTGTGATGCAGATAGAAGACAGACTACCAGCAAGCAAAGGACTTAGATTGAAGCTTGGTGGTTGGCACGGACCGCTGTCCCTTCGGTGGTGTCCAATTCCAGGAGTGGCATTTGAAGCATCCATGACAAGTCACCCTCGTTGGATCGGACCTGGCTTCCAAAGAAATTCTTGGAGGTGGAAGTTTGTGGGACTGGCTTGGTGAAGGAGGAAGAGCAGTTCCATTGGGTGTTGTTGAACGAGGGACCCAGAGGAGGGAGGGCCGGTTGCATCAGTTGGAACTCAGCATGCAGGTTGTGAGTATTACTGTTGCAGTGGTTGTTGCTGCTGAAAGTGCTGTTGTTGTTGTTGTTGCAGCCAAAGTTTCCAGAAGCCATTTGCTCGAGCAGAGAGAATTCTGAAAACTGGGGCAAGTTTCCAGTGGAATGTCGCAGTGCCGCGTTGCCCTGGCTCAGACACATGCTGATGCTGTTGGCACTGCTTCGTCGTACTCCGGAGTCAGACATCGACATGGACATGGAAGACACAGCATCGGCCGCACTGCCGACAAAGCTGGCAGACGACAAGGAGGAGATGTCAGAGGTGCTGCGGCGCACCTGCTTACGAATGGCGCTGGACCCCTTGCGGTTGGAGAAGCGGAGGGCATGTCCAATCTTGTCACGAACAGCCAAAGGATGGAGCGTCTCCCACATGTCAGTATCCTCGTTGTACTTGAGGAAGCGGTGAGTTTGAAGACGGTCAAAGATCTCCTTGGTAATGTCCATCTTGGCCTGACGACTACTGGCCTGTTGGTACTGGAGGGTGTAGCTTTCGATGATGCGGCGGAAGTTCTTGGAACCTTCGTGCTTGATGCAAATCTTGTTCTTGCCTGTATGGAGAGGAGAGGAGAGAAGTGAGTAAACCATTGTCCATGTATCATTGGTAAGGAGTGGACGAAAGCGTTGCCCAACGTACCGCAGAGAATGTCAGAGGGGAGCGGAGTTTTGATGGTCTCAAAATCCCGGTTAAAGGACTCCTCCTGCGCTTGAAGCACTGGAGTGGAGTTCATTGGTTTCATTGAGGGCATCATGGTTGTAGAGGGTCTATCTAGTGTTCGGTATCAAGTTGTTGTGGTGTTTGGTGTGAGTGGAGTTCCAAATTATGAGCTCTATGTTGTCGATTGTGGTGGAGCGGGTGGAGGCCCTTGAAGGAGCGTTGCTCCTTGGCCCAAAGCTCGATCCCGAGTTTGGCAAAAAGGATGGCGGGTTGTTCGTCGAAATACGAGACTCAGAAAGCATCCACTGAGTGATATCTCAATAGCAGCAACTCAATAGCCAGAAGCCAAAAGCACCCAGTGGTGCCGTGGCGCAAGCTTCTTGCAGATTATCTGACTGTCTTTGTTGGAGTTCAGTACATATTTCTGTGGAGCGACTTTGTTCGCTATTTCGACTTAATGGTCAAACAAAGTGTCCAGAGCTGTTTGTCAAATAGTTGTACCCTTATTCATCCAGTGCTACCTTCTCAATACTTCGGCTTTCCAAAGGATCCAGCTAAACTTCACAGATTATCACCGTGTAAAAGACAAAAGACACACATGATAATGCCTCCACTTTCCAGCAAAGTATACAGAACTCAACACCTACTGAGGTGAATATTTTCTCCGATTGGTATGTTGTTACTGCTTGCGTTACTGCGTTGATAATACCGTGGGTAGTCGCCCCCACTGGGAGTTCTTGAGTAGTCAACATCGGCATGAGAAGACATTCGGACAAAGAATACTATTCGGAACATGGGTAATGTTACAGCAATCAAACAATACTAGTAACAATATTCTTCAAATTCAGCAAGAAAGCTGTTAAACTGTACTCAATAACGATACAAATTAACTAAACTGTGACATCTCTTGCCACATCACCTCGCTTGGCTTCTCTACTCCTCTTTGACGACGCATGGCCATTGTTCTTTCACACTCGACTCAACAGCGTTTAAGATTTAAAACTACGCAAAAATTACTGATGAAAAGGCCCACTGGACTCGCACCATGTGAAAGGCCCTTTCGGTCCCGAATTTAGTCGCCAGAATGTAGCTTTTTCTAAGAACCATAAATGACCATCTATTGACATGTATGTCTAGCTAGCTAGAGGAGCATGGGTGATTTAACTGAGTCACAGTTGGTTGGAATACGCTCTGAGTACTAGTACAGTGCACAGTGCAATACGAGCCTCGAGGGCCAGATTTCGGATGAAAAGATCGTAATCACTATCTCTTTGTTTTACGGATGCGGCACTGGGTCGACGGTTCTTCGAAGTACAAAGTTGTAAAAAGCTGAAAAGCTGCTCGCGTGGTGAGTGGAATGAGAATGCATTCCCCGTTGGGCAGAGCCGCGATCGAGCACTCTAGCTGGCTTGCTAGCTGCAGCTACCGGTGGCGTACTGTAGTAGAGCTGACTCGACGCTATTGATCAACTCTACGATTAGAGGTTCTGGTATCAGTGTTCACAACGGACTCCCAATACCGCATCTAGCTAGCTGGCCAGATACCGTACTGTATCACATTGCAAATAAGCGTGCTTGTCGCGCGTCAACAGGTGTACAAGCCGAAGGAAGCCCTTGCCATCAGCCTTTCCAGCAGCAAGTTTTTCTCCACAGTCTGCCCCTTCAAAGAAAGGCCCTTGTTGGGAGTCGATCCAATCGCCATCGGCATCCGGAAAGTAAAGAGAAATCCCTTCTCGGGATCCTATCAGACAGCCATCGACTGGAACAGGCCGCCCACGACGACACAATACCGCCCCAAGATCACTCAGTTGAGGTCCCGCCACGACAGTCGATGGCTGCAGTGTGGCTGTCGGGGGTCGAAGATCACTGAAGAAGAGTCCTATTGGAGTGCACTTACTCAAAAGTAGTCTTGACGGCGACTGCCTCGTATGCTCTGCTGTGGAAGGAGCAACTGCATTCAAGTTGCAGCGACACAGTATCGGTGCAGAAACGGCACCGCACCGCCACAGCCAGAAATGTAAGCAAACCCGAATTTGCTGTGGAGGAGCGAGCCTTCATTTCGGTGCTGAGCAAGAAGAGAGACCGAGTTCCGAGCTGTAGTGGATCGAACAAGTAAGAACTTCGGCTGAAAGATTAACTCGGCTCGACGATTGGAAACCAAGATACTTCTTTGCAACATGTAACCGATCTCCCTATCGAGCAAGACACACATTGCTCCCCATTCCCCATTCCTCGGGTTTGCAACTTGCGGCTTCCGGAGAGGCAACACAACTCGGAGCTTGAACCTGATTGTCGCCACCAGTCGTTCCTCGGCATGCCGGCGATGAAGTTTAAGCGGCTTGAGCTGTCGATACAGTACTCAAGAAGATCGGAAAGAGGAGAGAGCGCCACCAACACAACGTCCTGGCATCAAGGCCAAACCGTTCCGTACGGTACCGTACAGTATACCGGTACCAAACTGATGGTAGGGAGTGGCCAAGCATGCTAAGAACAGGCAGTCAATGAAGTGGCTGCTAGCTAGATAGGAAGGCGAAGTCTTGTTCTTGCGTTTTGCTTCGATACGGTACAAGGGTTGGGCCGTTGAGCTGAGTGATGCAAATGTTTGAAGACTTCTCCACCTTCTACCTTACTGGTACATCAGCCAGCAGCTCCTCGAAGAGGATCTCTGAGCAGGTGAATGCGGGGTCTTACTCCAGTGATTTACTGATATGTATCTATAAGTTACTGGTTGTTGTAAAGGCAGCTAAGATGTCCCCCCCCCCAGATTGCCGTTTGAAGAGCGACATGGAGGGACGATCAGACTGTGGAGGCAGGAAGCAGGAGTGCAGTGACCATTCTGCCTGATCTGTGCGCAGTTGCTTGTTTGGTACGGTAGTTTAAAGCCAAACTGGTTTCACGGATTGGGGCTCAAAGTCCATAACCGGTTGCCTCATCATACTCAACACATCCCTTTCCGAGAATTCCCCCATTTCTAGGCAATTCTGGATGTTTGTCTGTGACTGCCATCCCTCATTGAACGAAATAGTCTGAGGGATTTTACTCAGCAGACTCTTGCTGAGACCACGAAGCATCTTTGTGACGGGGACAAATTGGTCGTTCCGTGAATTTGTCGTCAGCAGGCCGTGTGCTTTTCGTGCAGGAGTAACCTGGTTGCTATCCATCGTCTCGTCCGCATCGTCTGAACTCACCATGGACTCGGATGACGTTGATTGCGTGGTTGAGGAATCATATGACATCCTTCGTCGGTGCGTTGGAACCTTGGCTGCCTCGGAAATCTTCTTGGTGGCACGATTCTTTCTGCGTTTTCTACGGTTGACAAACCGCAGTGCATGCCCAATCTTATCCCTTACTTGAGAGCTTGTAAGCTCTTGCCAGCCATTCTTTTTCGAATGATTGAACTTGAGAAAACGCACTGACTGACGACGGATCTGGTTGTATAACTGTTTGGTTATTTCCATTTTCATAAACTACAAGCAAGCGATGCAGAAAGGACATTCAGTTAGTTCAACACGATCGAGAGGAATTACAATTTAGACGTTCCTGGCGCTGTGTTTCACTTACCTTTGAATCAGCTTCCCGATAGCGCTGAGCATTTTGTTCGATGATCGATCGGAATTCGACACTCCCTGAAGTCAAGTGGTCAAAGGACAAGGGGCATCGTTAGATTGATGTATTGGAAAGATGGTTGGCATTTTTTGGCAATCAGCGATTCTTCTCTGACTCTTCTTACCTGGATGATCCAGACATGCCTTGTTTTTTCCACAGAGGATCTGTCATTGCGCCATCAATGAGAAGTATGTGAGCTTTCGATCATCTGTGGAGGCAAATTGAGATCAATGCGATTCTACTTACATCAGAATCCAGAGGATGGTCAATGATTCGATTTTCTTCTTGAAATCTATCCATGGTTACTGTAGAGAGTGCTTTGATGTGATGAGGATATGAGGATTGAGGATGTTGTGTTTCGAAGTTGCTATTTTTCAATTTATGAGACAAGATGCAGATGAGAAAAAATAACAGGGAAAGTTATTATGGGTTAGAGAGAGCTAGAGTGATCTGCCCATTAAGACCCGCAGTAGATTAAGACTATTGTAATATTCTAGGCTGATACCTTAAGACTATATTATTATTATGGCTATATAGCTTAAGACCTGGCTGAAACTAGGGCATTCAGTAGCCAAAGCAGCTACTGGAGCTGCTTTAGGCTTCAACTGTACCTGTAGCACATCAGGCTTGGACTCAATCCTGTTCTCCAATTCAATTACCAGGCTTCCCTTGCCAATTTGTGTCCGCTTTGGACCCAAAGTAGACTGTCAACAGGAAACGATCTCGGGCTTAGTCAGGGAAGCAACAACTGCTTTCGCCCGAGCTTCTCCTTTGCCTTTGAGCCAAGCTGTTGAGGCTTTCTGTGCTTGGCGTTTCTTTTCCACTGCTTGCTTCTTGTGTAGCTCGTCGATCTGAGCCAAACTATCGGTGAGTATCTGCTTGTCTCCTTTTCTGCTTGAAGAGTCCGTAACATTAGCCTGCTTGTAATGGTCAACGTACTTGATCTGGAATCCCTATCATGATCGTATCCTTCGTAATCCTCTTCTCAATGCCATCGTCTTCGTCAATGCCATCGTCTCTTCGTCAACGTGCTTCTTCGTCAATGCCTTCGTCAGTGCTGTCGGAAACGCCCATCTTGAGGGAACGAGTGTCGGTAACGAACGATAAAAGAAGGAGTGTCGATATAGGTGCTTCGAGTGTCGGTAGACGAAAGATAAAAGAAGGAGTGTCGATAAGGTGCTTTCCGATAGAGGTGCTTTATGCATGTGCGAAGCACCTCTACGGAGCGAAGCACCTCTACGGGCGACGATAGAGGTGCGAAAGTTACCGACACACGATAGAGGTGCGGCACGGAGTTTCACTCGATAGAGGTGCGTACGTAGGATCCTACGTAGATTCAGTACTAGAGCACGACTGACGTCATCAGTCTTAATCTGCAGAGAAAAAGAATTCGTGTCAGTTGGGTGGATATCTTCAACGCCCGTAACTCCACCAATAAGTACACTATGAGGCTGCGAGATTTATGGCATACTCAACTACATGTGTTCTATCGATTCCCCTCTTTACATGTACTATATTCGATATACAGACCTGAAGAGAATATTCCGCGGAACGGTCGGTCTTAATACCCAGATCACTCTACATGTAAGATGAGGACGGGGACAAAAAGGGGAGGGCACGATGCAAAAATGCATTGCAAGCATTTCCCAAAGGATCTGAAGCGGAAAGCATCTTGTGCGGGAGGAGGGGCGACGGGGCGACCTCACGACCTTCACCCAGAATGGAAAGGATCGGAGACACATCCTCAGATAGACTCTTCGAGATATCAGATCTTTCAAAGTCCAAAGGAGTCCAATCGAACTCTTTTTAGCTTTTGAGGAAGTCCTCCTTCAAGTCCTGTCTAATCCGCGACATTCCTTCGTTACTCCTTCTTTGTAGCAATGTCGCATCGTAGTCGACTCGGCTTGCATCAACAGTGGCATCTCGCTGTCACTGTCACAGAACGTGCACGACTGGATCTCTCCAGATGCTCTTGGAATCGAGTGATCTCCAATCATCCGGCAGCGTAACGCTGCTTCGTAATCAACCTTTTGTACTGTACTATTTTAATACTCGAGTACGCTGTACTTAGTAGTCTATGAAAAAGATGTTACAGTATGATAGTCTACTTGACTCTTGACTCTACTACTACCTACTAGATAGCTACTAGCTAGCAGAGGTCGGGATTTTCTCAACAACATGATGGGAACAAAAATCACCCTCAAAAAGGGCCAGCATTGTGTGAAGAGCCCATGTCAACTTCTGTCGGATACTTTGCGGGTCTTGCAAATTCTAACGATGAGACACTGATCCGACAAAGACACGACTTCTGCAAACTGAAGTTGCAACAGAACTTCATCATCTTCTTATTTGTTTCTGCCCTGGATGAGAGGTTGTTGACATCGTGACATTGACTCAAGGAGGGCGATGTTGAAGTTCTTGCTTGTTTGGCTATAGGTCAAGCTCGACCAGGGAAGTTTTTGTGTTTGGTTGAGCTTGAAAAAAGAATCGAAACGAAAGAATCAGAGGTGGACACAACACAATTTTATAGCCACTTTAGCCCACCAATAGAAGGCAAGCTTGGTTCGGTCAAACTACTGTTACAGATGTGCAAGGATTCCATGAAGAGCGCAACTGAACGTTGAGCGCGGATTCATCGTTCATCATCTGTTGTCGACCCCGGCTGATCAAGTGCGCCACACAGGATCATGCTGGCCAGCCAGAACTAGTAGCTGACACACAATGTTTGGATGTGACCCGCTTCAAGTCAACATCAGGTTAACATACATGTTGCATGAATCCAATACCACTCATCCGAAACACTAATTTGCTTGACATGTTAGCAACGTGACATCCACATGAAAATGTCGACGGTTGCGAACTACCCATTGCCACTGAGGAGGCAGGTTAGTTTTGCTTCTTGAGCACGACATTTGCCGCCCTGCCCAAATGTGGTGTCAGGGCACTTGTCCTAGTCGACGGCAACTTCAGTCTTCGCAACGCAACGCACTGCTACAAAAAAGGAGGAGGTTCCCAAGCTTCCCGACGCATTGACATCGAAAAGCTAAGACAGGAACCCCGCCGCTGGACGCGCTTTCTTGTCCGGTCTACTCTATCTGTTTCGCAGGACATGTTCTTGTGGCTACATGGTGAGACAAAGTCTTTGTTCTATAGAGGTATACTTTATATGTAGTTTATTGTTCTTGTTTAATTGTTTGTTTTCACGGCACATTTTTGTTGTCACTTGTTACAGGTTTTCATTTCAAATTGGTTTCAATCCATTGTTCACATATAAATAGATAGGATTATGTATCACATCGATCACAAATACACGCAACCTGTGAGTCCAACTCGGACCCAAAGGCTTGACTGGGGACGCGTCATCCGCACACTATTGTCACGACCAGTACCACAACCACATTATAGCAGATACAACCTTCCATGGCTATTGGCAGTTGATTGTGTAGACATTGTCTGTTTGCATGTCCCACTCGATAAGAGGTTCGCTCATGATGTCTGACAAGTCGATATCCATGCTGCCTTCTCTTGTGGGAAGTTCAACATCAGGCTTTTCCGGAAAGGCCATCATTGCAGCCTCCTCACGGGGTTGCTCGTAGTGACGAGGTTCCTCGTAGTGGTGAGGAGGCATGTGGTGCTGGGGAGCAGGAGCATAATGTTGGTAGGAGTGGTAGTGGTGAGAGTGGTAGTATGGTTGGGGTGGGTGTCCATACGGTTGTTGTTGGTAATAGTGGGGCGCATAGGAATGAGAGTAGACGGGAGTGGGAGCTGGGAGGTTGTCAAAGGGGATCTCATAGGCGTATGGCTTGTCATTGACACTGTCATCTGCCTCAAAGTCGAGGGGTTCACTGTCCAACATCATGTCTTCAAAGTCTTCCAAGCTCAGTTCGGTGGCGGCAGTCGAAAGAGTAGAATTCGAGCTGTCGGATCCATTGCGGCGGTGAGTCTTCTTTGCGGAGGACTTGGACTTGGTGGTGGAAGATGGAGCAGATGATTTCTTTTCGCGGTTGGCGAATCGGAGAGCGTGGGAGATCTTGTCTCGTGCCAACAGTGAGGTGAGCTCTTCCCAGGCCTTGGCCTTGGCATTGTACTTGAGGAAGCGAGAGTTCTGGCTGCCGAGGCTCTCGTAGATTTCCTTGGTGACATTCATCTTTTCCTGTTTGGTGATTGCTTCTTGGTACTTTGGAGCAAACTTATCAATGACGGCTCTGAAGTTAATGGATCCTGGATGGCTGACGCAAGCTTTTTCCTTGCCACAGCTGAATTTGGAGTAAAGAAAAGAGCAAGTGAGTTTCATTGAAAACAAAGCCGATTACTCGGAGTCGCATCGCATGTGATTACTTACAGAATATCGTCAGGTCTGGTCTCGGTGATGACAGGCTTGGTTTCTTTGTTGTCTTTGGGGGCCATGGTTTCTTGTGTTTTGTGACTTGTCGAAAAAGATTCAGAAAGATGTGTCTTTCGTTGTTGTGGTGTTGTCCGGCTGTTGTTGTTTTGGGTTTTGATGGGATTGCCAGGAGAATATATTTTGAATTGTGAGACGAAAAGATGAGGAGGCCTCAATAGCAATAATATTGCAAAATTGCTCTGAACGATCAATGACCGTGCTCACCGGGACACTCCCAGTCTGGGATATGCTCGTTGGAACACATATCTTGTACCATTCTGTCTCATGCTTTGTGTCGCACCGGCTCTAAACCTCTGAAGGGGCGACCCGTAGCTTAAATAAGTTGTGGGTTTGCTTGAAACCACTATCCTTAATGATGCAAGCAACTCCCACGGTCATTCGTGCGGTATCAGGACGGTTAAAAATACTTAGAGATCAAAGGTGAATCACACCAGCAAGATCCCCAAATCCGTTTTGGCTGGTTGCCACCGAGATTTTGCCCTCCCGTCCTATCAAAGGGGAAGAGGGCAAGAGAGGGTGGGAGTGCATGGTAGTGTTCAAGTATTTCAAACCTCGTGAGTTGCGTGTTACCTCGCTGAAAGAATACTCGTGGGTCTACGCGAAATTGGAAGTGCGAGCTGCCCACTTGCTACTGGTATTCGTAAGTGACCTGTCGCGCCACTTGTAAACTTTGCTGGGAGCACCCTTTTTGTTCCTTGTGCCTCCGCTACCGGTACGTACCTATGGTTGCCACCAAGAAGATCTTCCCTCTAGAGTCGTGTGCGTCTGAGCAAAGCTCCAGTGGCCTATTCAAGGGTGACACCACATTTGTGTAATTGCCTGTCACCATTCGCAAGGGATATCGCCAACTCGCAAGTTGCTTCCCCGCTTTCGAATCTCAGCTTTTATCAAGCCGTCCTCTATCTAGCTAGCTAGACGTAACCCATGATGTCAAGTTCTATATCAACAGGTATTCATTAGAGTTTCAAACAACAACAGTGCGCCGTTCTAGGTCTCACAGCCAAGCCACCGGTACGCACAGCATTGCGAAGCCTATAGCACCAGCACCATCCTGCCAAGATTGTCATGTGGGTTAGGCTAACTCTCGTTTCAATATTTTGAAATCCATGTGCATCACACACACCGATGCCGTTTTGTCACAATCGTGATTCAATCCGATGCATGAAATGGCCCGCTCGTCTTGGTCGAGCAAAAATTTTAGGAGGCAGTTGTAGGCCTACATGTAGTTGAAGACTCCGCGGCCATCTCCACGATGGAGTGCAGCTCGACCCCATCTGTGGGTCGAGGTATAATTGTGCTAGGGTTCCACTTGATGGGTCGTTTCGTTTCTGCCGAGTAGTTTTGTAGATGAAATGATGTCACGCTTCGTGCGAATATGGCAAGGAACACCTTCATTTCCATCATGCTTAAATGATAGCCCAAGCAAAACCGTGGCCCAGCTCCGAATGGAACAAAGTCGGAAGGTGTTGTTGCGGGGTCTATCCATCGGTCTGGCTGGAATCCTTGATACACGTCCATATGTGCATCATTGGGCAGAGCAGTAACAGGGTCTAGTTGGTGCGTGAGACGATAACTGGTAAAGACACTCCAATCCTTGGGAATTTGGACGCCATCAATGACAAAGGTATCTTTGACGCGTCGTGGGAATCCCCCTGTGATGGGTCCGATTCGCAACGTTTCCTTGACAACTGCGTCCAGATACGGACATTCCTTATCTAGTATAGATGGTGTCAATTGCGTGCCATGGTTTTCAACCACAACTTGCTGTTCCTGCACTAGTTTGCGGAATTTGTCAGGATGGACACCCAGTAGAAGCATGGCTAACGTCAGAGTCCCCGCCGACGTTTCCGCTCCCGCTGACACGAGCAGTAGGGCGTTCTGCACAACATCTTCTCGACTGAGCTGTTGTTTGTCGTCGTCGATTGCAAAGACCATGTTGGAGAGGGTCGATGAATCGGGGCCATCCCGCAGCAAGGAATCGATCTTTTCCTCCAGTTTGGATTCAATAAATACTTTGGCTTTGTATGGTTTGGAACGTGTGACCAGGAAGGGTATCCGAAGTATTGCAGCTATGGAAAAGAGTCCCTTCATCCAATCCTTGAGTTTTTCACGGAAGTCATTGGCTTCTTCCTTTGCAAGTTGCAAGCCCAGTAGTTGATTTCGTACAATATCCATGGTATAGTCCACACAGACATCTTCCATCTTGATTGTTGCTGCTGATTGAGCCATCATGGGTTTCAGAACTTGTTGTTCAATGACATCTTTGGCAGTTTGTTGAATGGTGGGAAGAGCATCTACTAACGCTTTTGGTGTCATGGCCGATCCGATCAATTGACGCAAAAACAAGTGTCGTGCTTTGTTCTTTTCAAACATGAGATTGTTGGAGCCAAAGACTTTGGGTCCTTTGGGTCGTTTGGTCGTTTCCTTTGTCTTGTTGTTGTTGTTGTTGTTGTTGTTTGTCCCCACATCATACTCGGTAGTACCAGCTCCTGTCATGGTAAACTCCATATTGTTGACTCGAGTGACCAAATCCATACCGGAAAAGAGTGCAACGGGTCGCCCCAAAAAGTACATTTTCCAGATCCGTGGATCGCCCAACCGTCGGGAGGCTCTGCGATAGAAATGTTCAGGACCAAGATTTTCGTTTCCAGCCAAAACATTGTTGCCAATCCAAGGACAACCGTTGATGCCTGCAGGGGTTGGCTCGGAAAAGGCAGGGTCCGGCTCCGAGCCAGGCCAGAGATAGCTGTGGCGTTTCTTGTAGAGAAAAGCACCTGCCAACAATGTAGCTAGCAGTACAGCTATCCGAATGATTCTCCCTGTAGTTCCAGATTGGACTGGTACCTGACGGATCCAATGCAACGCTGATGATATCGCTTTCGATGGAAGAGAGATCGGACTTGCCAATAGCCGAGTCTCGGAGTGGGTATGTGTTGTGCGTGAGGGACGAGGGCGTGAGAATTGTAGTTGTTTGCATGCAGAGAACTGGATTGGCGGTCGATTGGATCCTGTGACGAAGCGCCCTTCTTTTGAGAAGGCACCAAAAGCATCGCAGCCGTGCTGTGCCAGTAACAACAATGCTGGCAACAGAAGCAAAGTGACAGTCTTCATCATATCTTCATAATGCTTTGGCCAGCCACTGCCAGGTACCAAAAGTAGCTAGCTAGCTAGCTAGCTAGCGACCACGAAAACTCAACTTGCTCAAAGCGAGAAAGATCTCCCGTGTTTTCTCGTTCTTCAGGATCCATCCGTGACTGCAAAACGGGAGTAGCTTGAGTCTTGCGATTCGTTTCAAACCCGAAACTGATCCCGGTTTGAGTCGAGTCCTGGAATCGAAAGCCAGTGTAAGCTGTATGAATCCCCTGCCGTCCTGGATTTGGTGTTTCGGTACGGCAGCGGACTCCAACCACTTTGCCTCTCTTCTGGAATAAATCAAAGGTTGCATGAAAAAAGCGAAGAGGCCAACTCTAGTGAATCAAGGCAATGTACTAGTAAAGAGCTACTTTGTGGGCCAATGCGATCAGAGTGTTGTAAACTTCAGAGCAAACCCTATACTTCGCGGGCATGGACCAGTATCAACCTTCAGCGAGCTGAAGCATACATTGGAAACATGGATGGCTAGGTCTAACATCAACAAATAAGAAAATACATGAAACCATAGAGCACAAGCTGAGCATGCATCTCAGCAGCAAAAATTCATTTTTTTTCTTCTTGGCTAGTCTGCGTTGATAGTGCTTCCCAGCTTCCAGAAGAGGCCATAAGTTTGATCAAGCCTCTTAGCCGCCTCCGTCGTGAGACGATGGTGCTGAACATATTCCGGTGGCACTTCATTGTTTGGAATCAACCTGTGAATGCCCATTTCGTAACCCGCAATCCACAGCCTTCCCATTTCGTTCAGGAGGTCTTTGTTGCCATTAGGAAACTTGTCGCTGGGATTGAGCTTTATGCCCGACACGACAATCTGAACCTCCGCCAACTTCTCTTGTCGTGAAACAGTTGCCTGTGACAACATGTATGCCGCCTCAGCTGACACACCAATCAGAAAGTCAATTTGCAGGATATCTTTGTGCGCTGCAATGTCTTCTGCTGTTTCCATCACAAGATCCCACTTGGCCCAACGAGGCATTTTGACAACGGCCATGTCGTCCATGATCACGGTGCCATTTCGAAAGACCAACCCCGAGTGACCAGGGCCTTCCGCGTCTCTCCAAGTGGCCATCCATACGCGACCCCAAATCACGTACACAGACAAGTGCATAGGTGGTTTGTCCACTGATTCAAATGATGTGAAACGATCCTCAATAACCACTCCCGGCTGCACGAACGCCATCGCCCAAGGATCAAGAAAGTGATTTTTCCGTGGATGCATCACGTCATTGATTTGGTGAGCCACGGCATCAGCGCTGTATTCCTCCCCCTTCTTTCCACTGCTGTCCACAGTCCACATTATGTGAGAATTTGTTTCTTCGACGAAAGATACAAAGATGACTCCACCGCTCTTGTGGGATTTCACGACATAGTCAGACTTGTTGGGGAGAAGTTTTCGGATCTCCTCTTCCCGATCACCATCTGCCTGTTTGCCGTCCTTGCCAGTAACAAACTCGTCGTGGTACTTGGCCAAGTGGCTCAATGGCACAGGAATGCCAATTGCTTTGAGAAAGCTCTTCTGGGCAATCTTGTCCATGTAGAAAGCCAAGGAAGGTTCTTCTGAGTGGCGTTGATACATGAGCATGTGTGCAGGGCTGCGCTTATTCTCATGGCTGTGGCCGCCTACAGATAGCTTGTTGGTACCTTCTAAAAACGAAGAAATGTCAAAGTCTTCAAAGAGTTCAAACTCTTCTTCCATTGTAGCAGAGGCTCGTCGTTGCTTGTGATGGGCGTGTTCATTTTCAAATCCGTACCGCGCGAGATTGACGCCATTGACTGGAAAGGTGTCCAGTGTCCATACTGTGCGTTGGTACTCCTGGGGATCTGGAGCATTGTATCGCAGTTGAATCTGGTCGCTGGCCAAACGTCGTCGTCGAATGTTGCCTAGAAGCTGCTCAACCTTGCGGCGGTTCCCAAGATGAGTCTGGCTGTTGGGATCGAGGGAAACATACAAACACGCGGCAAACAAGAAAGTCGCAAAGACCAGCGATCGATACAAGACAATTCGATCAGCGTCGTAGCGACGTTTAGGAGAAGCCGATGATCCAGAAATGATAGTTTGAAACCCATTGTAGGTCAACACAGGAGAGTTTCGTCGGAGTTGCCTCGACATTTTAGTTTCTTTGGTCAATCTGCTGATTAGGGAAACAGTCATGCTTGTGTCGGACAGAGTTGTTTGTGAAGCATGCTGGTGGGATGCATGGCTGCACAGACAAATGCAATTCTGTGGCCTCGGTCAACTGGAGAAACCTCTTTTTGAGAGTGTGGCATTGGCATCTGGCGTGAAACTTGGAAGATCTTCCTTGGAACAGTCTTGGAACTGTTTGTACGGGACTTCCACTCCCGGATCGAACAATAAGCTGACTAAGCGGCGAAAAGGTGGTGACCGGAGGTACTGGGTGCAGAGAATGGTACCGCTACCGGTACCGCTACTTACGGGTACCGCTACCTACCATACCATTTCAATCAAAGTAATTGTTCCAGCCGACGAAGAAGGATCTTGAGCTGAGGGTCAGTATGGTGATGACTATTTCTTAGCTACCCGCGACGAAGACGGTCTTCACTGTTCTCGTGCACGTCGGATTCCATCAGATCCTCTGCCAGCTCCAGGTCAAAGACGTAATTGTATGCATAATACAAGCCGGTTGCATTGGGACTGCCATCCGCGTTGACGAAATCCGCAAAACTCAACCCCAAACTGCCAACGGCGCCCACATATTTTCCAGTGCCTCCCGAAACAGCCATCTGCGTTTCTCCAGAATTGAATGGTCCGACACCATGAATTTGTCCATCTTCGAAAAACGCCGTAAAGACACAGTCCCATTCGGAATCGTCGCCCTCATTGGTGAGTCGAATGTAGTGGCCTTCATTGTCACCTATCATTGTGTCTTCCTTATAGATGGGATTGCGGCGGTCCCAGGTGTAAACATCGCCAACACCTTCCACACCATCCCTCAGTGTTGTGATCACGTCGGAGATACTGACTGCAATGGTAGGGGTGGTACCACTTTCAAGCCCAGCAGCCTGCACGGTGGTGCCAAGACCAAGGAGAGTCAGGGCAAGGGTCAAAGTCAAGTGCATGCTGGCCGATGACATTGCGATGAGGGGAAGAGCAAGACAGATAGAATTGGCTTAGAACTAGCTATACTCTATCGAATCTGCGATAATGAGACAGAATGGGTGGCGAGTTTCCAATTCACCACCAACGCAAAAATTGGCTAGGATGACCAAAAATGGAATGCACGGTACCTGCAGGCTCCAAGAATGAGATGCAGTGGCGATGGCATGGCCAAAAACTGCTCAGAGAGTGAGTGGGGGGCGCTTCGATAGATGACGGCTTTGAGAACGAAATATGCAGGTCAACCATAGTCGTCTGCTTCGCCGACAGAGATGTTTCCACGTCAGAGAATTTCGTTCCTCGCTCTGGGTCCACGCTGCTCGTTACATTTAATTTCCCGTTTACGCGACTAAACCCCCGTGACTCGGCAGTTTATCAAAGTGAGTTTTCTCAATATATCGTCCGCAAACTCTCTTCTATTACAGTCGTAGTCTACTCTGCAAATGAAAACTAAAACTGAAACTTTGGTCAGCGAAATTAAAAACATATCGTGCAACTTCTAACGACTAATAACAAGCAAAAAAGATATTCTATCTTTTCTATTTTTAAATAACAAATTGAGTATTATATCCGCAATAAACTCTACGGTACAGGTTGGTGCAGACGGTCTAGTTTTCGTGTCCATTAGGATCCCAGCAGCATGCAAGAAGACACCCTTCATTTTTGTTGCTTGTTGAAGGATCATCACATCATCACCCCATCGTCAACTCCGAACCGTAGATGAGATCCCCTTCATTCAATCCTCTTTGTCAAGATCTGTACTCTAGTAACTGATTTCTGTGGCTAAACAAAAGTTGCGTCTATTCCACTTAGAATCCTCTCTCTGCCTCGTTGCTTCCTTCAGCTGTATACCGGTCCCCACCATGGCGTCGTCGCAACCGTTCCGCCTGATCAAGCGACCAGTGGAAACATCGTCATCCTTGGCATCGATCAAGAAGAAACCACGCCTAAAGACTAGTGGAGATTACAATCTGCGTGAACTAACTGGCTCTGAATCTTGTCAAACAAATGACGAAGTCCATCAGTCCATTGAACTTTGCCCCGTAATGAAGGCGCTGATCGATACGAAGGTGTTTCAGCGTCTGCGACACATCAGGCAGCTGGGAACATCAGAATACCTGTACAATTGTGCGACTGGAAACAGATTCCAGCATAGTTTGGGGTACGTTCTATGAATAGAGTGGGTCGCCAAGGTTTCCTTGTTTTACAGATTGTGCTATGTTAACACCTAGACTTACAATTTTTTGATCAACTTGGCTTCCCGTTCCACACGTTCCACAGAGTGGCACACTTGGCAGAAATGATGTGTAAGAACATCAAGAAAGAGCAACCAAACCTGGGTGCTACTGATAAAGACGTGTTCTGTGTCAAGTTGGCTGGGCTCCTTCACGACGTAGGTGAGTCACTTCCTTTGCATGCACACACACACACACACACACACACACACACACACACACACACACACACACACACACACACAAAGTTCTATTCCTTTCGTCTGGCTTGAGTCTCACGCAGCGCACATACACTTTTTGACTGTTCGGCTTTCCTTTGCGGTATTATGAAGGTCACGGTCCATACAGCCATCTTTACGAATGTGAGTCCAATTGCAGGTGCTTTCCTTACCGGAACAGAGATCAAGCTCTGGTCGGTTCGTTTCTTCCAGCTGAGTCGAGTCTCACAGCTTTCTTCCACGTGTTTTTGCCTGATGAAATTTGGTTTCCTTGCTTGACGCTGTTGTGAAGGCTTTCGTGAAAATATGCTACCCAACTATTTGGATAATCATCCAGAACTGAAGGCAGCTTATGATGACTGCAAAGACTTGAAAATCGAAGGTCGATGGAGCCACGAAGATTCATCAATGCTAATGATTGACACTGTGTTGGCTGAATTGGGCCTTGAAATTGACCTCCGCAATATGGACCACCCTTTGAAGCAGATTGGAGACGGAGTAGACGCTGCAACCATGCGCGTCTTCAAACCACCAAATCAGAATAACAGCGTCCTAACGTCTCGTGATTGGGTCTTCATCAAGGAATGTATTCTCGGTAAGCCATTGCCCCTCCCTGGATTCGACAACAAGGACTTCATTGGGAGAACCGAAGCAACAAAAGAGTGGCTTTACGATATTGTCAGCAATCGACATTCGGGCCTCGACGTCGACAAGGTGGATTACTTCGCTCGAGATTCTCGAAGCGCTTTCGGCCCCGAGCCAATCGAATACAAACTGATTGAAGACGCTCGTGTGGCCAAAGGACAATGTGATAAGGAGGATTGTCCAACATGCCAACGCGGACCCGGTTTCCACTACATGATATGCTACCCAGAAAAACGGGTCCCTGCTGCAATGAAGTTCTTTCGGAAGAGACTTGATTTGCATGATGCGGTATACCAAAACAAGAAGGTTTGTCTCAAACTCTAGATGTGATGGCTGTCTCCCAAACGTGTCCTCACTGAATCTCTACAATACACTCACTCTTGCCAGACTGTGGCTGCCGAATGTTTGGTAAGTAGTGCACGTTATTGATGGATGACTGGCCGCAGCATCGGACTTATTCCTAATGTCGTGTTTCGTCCTTGAAAGCTCTATGACATTCTTTGTTCGGCAGATCCATTCATCAGACTAAAGTCCGATGACGGAGTGAGTTTTCCTCCCAGCCGAGCAGTGCTCAAAAGTGAGTTCTTGATGAAATTGGATGATTCTATCATTCCGTTGATTGGTCATTCAACCGACCAAAATCTTGAAGAAGCAAGAGCGTTGTTCGAACGCCTTCGCAGACATGATATGTACAAGTGTGCCGTCGATGAAAGACTGGTTACTGACAGTGATCGCTATTACGAAGACGACAATGAGGAATTGGAGGAGAAATGCAAACGCGACAAGTTGCTATTGGAAATGAGCGATCTTGAAACATATGTGCACAATGGCATGCTTCTTGAGAAACAACATTGTGAGAGCCCCTTTCCTTTGGATGCCAACGATTTCATTGTTCGGAAGTACGATATGCACTACGGCCGCAAGCATCGCAACCCAGTCTCTTTCATGCGTTTCTACGAAAAGGACAATGAAAAGCTTGTTGGTCCCTTGGAAACATTGCCTCGAGCGAGAAAGTATGATGTTTCAAAGTGGCTTGGTATTACGCCGATCTCGTTCCGTCGGGTTGGCATACGGGTGTTTTGTCGAGACCCGAGCAAACGAGACCTGGTCAATCAGGTTTTCCACCAATGGTTTGAACGGATGCTTAGGGGAGAAGTCGGGGAAGCCGAGTTTACGCCTGGATCACCTTTCGGACTAGAGCTTCGCGGTGACAGCGACTGCGAGGAAGAAGATAACGACGATAATGATGGCTTTCAGCAAGATACTGTTCCCCTTACCCAAGAATCCGTGGGTGAGGGAGATTCAGAGAACCACATCGATGGCCCCAGTCCCATACCAGTTCGACACCGCAGTCGTCGACCTTAATCAACAAGATTGATGCTGCTCTTTACGAACTAGCGTGGCCCTGTTGGCCACGGTGCATCGGTGGTACAACACATGTTAACAGTAAAAGTGTTGTTTGTTGTGTCGCATCAAAGTGGACAGCTTTCTTGGCGTACGTTTTTTTAACTAGCCAGGGATTGGGTACCGTACCGGTGTGTGATTATTCCAATTCCCTTCATTTCTTTCGCATGCTTGGAACCTGACGAGGGGCGCACTCACCCTGAAGCGTGCACGAAAATTGGCGTATCCGGTACTCACAACCCATTCTCAACCTTCGTTTGGCAGCAGCGTGCGCACAAGGTACCTTCCAACTTGCAAATGTGTTCCTCTTTAACTCAGCGCACGCAAACGTTCAACGTCTTGGCCCTATCTTGTGGCTTGCAGAAACGCTTGTTGACGTTTCGGAACGGTTTGCTTGCATGGTTTCAACGCAACACAGTCTTCGGTGGAGCTCGAAGACCCTTGATCGCAACAACCCGCACCTTCCCCACAAGAGCTCAGTCTTTGCCAGAAGAACTTTCAAGCAATACGATTTGGCCACCACTTCCTCCAACCGCGGCACTTTGACAAACGGATATCGACCATGGGTGCTACCGAGTCCAAAGAAGAGATTGTCGCGGAGAACACCGAACCGAAGTTCGAACCGCCTGAGAACGACTACCAGCTTGTGTTTGAAGCCATCAAAGCCCTCGAGTATACGTTAATGGCCAGCTTTGAAAGCAGTGGGGACTGTCTGCACGAAATGATAGCCACGACCAACCGAAAACTTCCAATGGACCTCATAGTGGACATGAGAGCGCTGGCAACTACACGAAACAACATGGCCCACGAGTACAGCTGTGACAAGCTTGAGGATCGAGAGGATTTTATTGAAAAGTACAAGAGAGTTACTACCAGGCTCAATGAGGAAATAAAGCGAAATAAGGAGGAAGACGAGCAATTCTACAGCGAAGTCGTCCAAAGGCACCGACAACTGCACCCTCGACCGACCTTTGTTGTGGAAGAAGAAACGCCCGTGCAAGATAACATCAACGCCTCTCCAATGGCTTGTGTTGCTTGCTTCTAAGGAAGGCGGTCTCTTGTCCTGGTACAGGCGTGTGAAGCCCCCTGCAAGAGCCATGCTCCCCATGATCTCCTATATCATAATGGAGCAACTGATCCTCTCATCATTCATTCTCAGAAGAGCTGACCGGGGGTCCAAGTTCCTAGTATTGTCGTCATGTCTATGGAAAACAATTACATTACTGAGTATTGCATAAATTTGATTTTGAAACTGTTGTCAAGAAGCCTCGATCTAAACCGAAAGTCATGCAGTCATGTAGGGTTACAACGATTAGTAGTTAGCACGCAGGCGGTGGGAGATACCAACTGTATAGAACGATCTATGGCTATGTAGAGCAAAAGCTTAGATTAGTCCAACACGAAATCTCCCCTTGATCATCTATGCATTGTGGCTCTTATCCCTCTCCTTTACCCCGGGGTGGCGTGCGATTGATTCAGAGCGGCTAACACGCAAATTGAATCCTATTATCCAGCCCTGATCGATCGGCACGAAGCATATAATGGTAACTGTCCCTCTACCGGTATCTAGCTGCAGAACAATAAACCTCACCAACTAACCTTCCCATTGTATGGTTGTTGGACGTTGAACGAGGAACCACGGTGGTGGCTTTCTGCATGGTCTGCTCTTCTGGAAGTTGCCGGCTCACGAATCGTCGATCCCGTGCGAATTCACCGCAGCCTCGAATCGTCGAGCACCACGAAGCCTGGCACCGAACGGCCGTACAAGATGATATCTAGTCTCGAAAGGCAGATATATGTTACTGTGGCATAGCAGAGCTGTTCGCGGAAGTGAGTGGGATGTGCGGGAGCGAGGTGCGAGGATACCTTCTTTGCTTCGAGATAGAAACGATGAATTTTGATGCTGATCGAGCACACATCCGTGTGCTCCAACGGCCGTTCGCAGTAACTAAGCATCTTCAACGGATCACTGGACGTTTCGTAATTGGACAAACAGTGTATTTAGGGATGATCAAGAGTTTCCAGTTTCGAGAGGGCTCGAATTGACTTCTTCGCAGCGGCTTTCGCAGCTCATTAGTTAGTTACCTGCGCTGGACTCACTCCATCCTCCAACTTCTTCCAAACAGCATAAGACTGGTTAAGAAGCAACATCCAACATGGGAGCAACCGAATCGAAAGTGGCACCATCATCAAAGCCAACTGGCAAAGTAGTGATCAAGGGGAAGGGCAAGAACAAGAAGGCCGTCGCCACAGCAGTCGCAAAGGCAAAGGTAGGCAGCGCCGCCAATGCAAGCGCCGATGGCAAGGAAGTTCGAGTTGTTAGACCAAACGACTACGAACTGGCCATCAAGTCATGCAAAGAACTCGAATTCATTCTAGAGACCGAATTTGGCAGCACTGGCGCCACCCTCCATGAAATGATCACCAATGCCAATGCGTCTCTTCCGATCGAGTTGATCATGAACATGCGCTACGTTGCTACGATTGGAAACAATCTGGTGCACGAAAAGTCATTTAGTTACATTCCTGATCAGGATGAATTCGTCAAGCGATATCAGAGATCTGTGAATGCCCTTCAGGAGATTTCGCAACAGCGGCGAATTGTCGAGCGAAGGGTGGTCGAGGCCAAGAGAAAGAAACGTGAGGCCGAGATCCAAGAAGAGTTGATGAATGAGGACAGAGAGTGGCTCGACAAACAACACAGAGAAGTTACTGCACAAAAGGCACGAAAACTTGAACTTGAGAAGGAAAAGGAAGCTCTAGAAAAGCAGAGGCGAGAAATAGAAGAATTGCAGGCCAAGAACCGTTTGTGCGCCTGCTTCTGAGACACCCACACTTCACTTCCCACCTCCTTTTTGCTGCGGGTGCACATGGCTAAATGCCAGTGACAGAGCTGTTTTGTGTTAGACGACGCGTGGAGATCACGACAAGGCGATAGAGAAAGCTGTTTGATGATTGTATCCAATCCAAATATTAATGTTGTATAATGCGCTTCTTAGGATGTCCGGAATACCGTCGTCCTGATAGATTGTTCATGCAATGTAACGCGCTCTAGTATGAATCGGGGCAAGTTGTTTGAGGCATTCCAGCTTGTCCACATACATGCATTTACCACTGCAGGGTAACAGCTAGGAAACCACCCCCAAGTACAGTTAGGAAAGGAGAACGGTTGTGCATACCAAGCCGCCGCCTAGCTAGCAGAACTACAGAGCATAAATAAAATTATAGTCATATTGATGTGAATGCACACGGCCCCTATTAATGTACGAACAAGCAGGATGGAACCTACGGTGTCAAGAACATCACCTCATTCTCCAAGGTGATGTGCCACCGACTGTTCCTGCTTTTGCATCCCAATGGAAAGTCTATACTCGTGTTCTGCGGCCTTCAACATGTTCTCTGTGATGCTTACTCCTTCCCTCTCCCATTGGTTTCGATTGTTTGTGGCGCTGTGGGTACGGGTGTTCGAGATGAAAACAATTTTTTGGTCAGGTGACCCAGCAGCAATACATTGTCTCGTCAAGAGAGCCTCCGAGGACTTACTAATTCAAGTTCTCGTCACTAGTGGGTCCAAAGACTCCACAGTCGCGCAACTTCTTCGAAAGCGGGATGATGTAAAAATCAAAGAAGCCAATTTCCCCTTTGTACCTGAAAGGACAGAATCAAAAGACAAGCAAACCAGACGAGGTCAGACCCTTGGGATGCGAATGACTTGATAGCAGTGGAGAGGAACTTATCGCACCAGTTGTCAGCTGGGTTCGTCTCCGCACGACCCTCTCGATATGCCTGGAACAATTATTGATGCAATACAAAGCAAATTGACGAGCGAATCATGGTTAGTTCCGTGCACGAAATTTGCACTCAAATCTCGTTTGGGATCAAAGTTCTTACCTTATAGCATTCTCGAAAGAGTCGTTCGTTCCATTTCCTATAGATGGCCCAATGCTGAGACATGTGCGCCACATCCGCAGCTTGCAAAAGATGCTCGATCTGCAAATGAAACAAAAACAATGTTTGAGATATCAATCAGGCAGCAAAAGAGTCCCAGTTGGCAATGTAAACGGTATGACATACCACAATGGTAGCCTTGCGATTGATGTCTTCTTGACTATCATTGGCACCCTTTGCCACTTCGTCGTCGAATGTCTCCTGTATTCCAGAGGATCGCACTGAAACTTTGGCTGAAGAGCGTTCGGAAGTCGTGCTGTCGGTGGAACTTGCAGTAATGGCAAAAGCTTTTTCCCAGCGGGCATTCCGGAGAGCTTTCAGCTCAGAATCGCCCAAATCGGTTGCCATGACACTGTTAATCACCAGCTGCCTAAAGCGAGCGAGCTCTGTTTCATTGCCGCAGATCGTGGACCGCAGCAACTTAAATCGACTTTGCATCAGCAAATCCCATGATTGATCCAACGACCTCTGTTCAGCAACTGAACGACTCTTGTAGCGGGCCCCAGCTTCCTCGTTTTCCTAGAACAACCACAACCGAACGCAAAGAAGTTTAGTACAATGCAAGATACTATGGTGGTTCGATGAATCTCGACACACATACCTGCATCAGCTGTTGGTTTGGAACACCTGGATGGTTTACGTCTGCAACAAAAGTACAAGGTGCAATGGAAAACATGAGCTCTGACGAGAGAGTTGCACGATCATGCAACCAACTACGGTAGATCACTAACCGTGAATGAGAGCACTGAATACACAAGCAAAGAGTGTCAACGGATCGGAGGCGACCCCAAAGGTGTGTTTGTGAATCGTAACCATGGTGCAGGTCCTGAATCTTTCACCATCGTTTCCAACGTCGATCTCGTTTGCTGCTTTGATCCTGTTCATGTATTTGATGACTGTCAATATGTTGGCAATGTCACAGTTAAGCATTCAGTTTGTGCAGCCAACTTCACATCCGCCAAGACGATTCTGTGAACTAGCACTTACCTGCCATCACCACATAACTGCGAGTGCCGAAAGGAACCAAACGTGTCAGGTGCGAATCGATTGACACTGTGATCGTCGCTTTACAGGGTACCACCTACCTGGCATGGGCAAACTGGAAGACCGCAAGGGTTTGAGAGAAAACGAAGAGAAGAACTCACACTGTAAGTCAGGAGGTCACATGTGAGCCATTCGATTGGACCCCAGTCAACTATGTCGACGTACATTATGGAATGGATTGTCATTGTACATCTCCGCAATCCCTGTAATGAATTCCTTGAGCTGATCCACCACCAAAGGAGAGAGCTCCACCATTTCTATTGTTTCCCGCTGCCTCCTAGCTGCCTTCTTGTCAAAATCAGGCAGCTCAATGATCTCTACAACTTCGTCTAAGGGCATATCACCCTTTTTACGCAAGTCAAAGTCGGGGGCCTCCATCCCGCTGAAGCCTGGAAGCCCTCCTGGAAGCCCTCTTCGAGCAACAATATCCTTGAGCATCTGCAGAAATGACAGCTGTTAGACGTGCAATCAGTACCAGTGATGCTGGATCAGACACAAGACTCGTTTCGCACCTCCTTGAATGTCTCAACGTTCCATTGAATCCAACGCTGTTTGCTATCTGACAGGGCGCTTACATCCAACAACTCGTCTTCGTCATCTGAACCTCCAAAGCTGCTGCCACATTCTCTCGTTGAGTAATCGCCATCGAGACTTCCTCGGGTAAGGAAAAACGTCTGGATTTCACCTTTCTCTTCAGTGACAAGCTTCCTGTCGCGCTCGGTGATCCACCTTTTCTTTCCTATTTTTGTAAGCTCATTTGCAGTTGCTTCGCTCAGTTGAATATGGTCACCAAGGCCTGTTGAGAGCATGAGTTTGGCATAGTTCGACGCATCGCCAAAGATTTGGAACCGCTGTCCTTTTCCTTTCATAAACCCACCCGTTACGGTCCTACGAAGAAGGCACAAAGCGGTCAGAACCATGATTAAACAAACACGCACAGGAAACACCAGTGCTGGTGTTCTGTGTGGCAGTGGAGCACAAATCGTACCCGGAATGCATGCCAATCCGGAGAGACAGGTCTCCTGTATCTGGGCCGAACTTGATTTCTTGTCTCTTCATCAAACGAGGTATTTTCTTCATGCAACCTTTTGATTTATTCCGGAAGAGAGGCATCCAAACGGCAGGTTAGACAAGCATCAAGACGATGAGTGCTCTGGAATACAACACTTTTTCTCACCCAAGGCAAACTTCGCTGCACAAAGAGCATGATCAATTCTTGGCTCTGGAATTCCACTGGCACCCACCCAGGACTCTCCCACTGAGGGTTGGGAAAAGAAAGATGAGAATCATGGTATGACGAGGAAACAAGGACATGCATTCCGCGCAAACACCGATTCCAAACTTGCCTGTCTCGACTTTGAATATTTTATACTTGTCTGCTATCGAATCCACGCATTCATAGCATTCTTCCAAGAACTTGAACACATGCACAGGCTCCCTGCAACAAAGGAGTGGAGATACGATCAGAGAGAGTGGGACAGGGACTGCCAAACATCTTTGTTAGGCCCTTCGAACACGTACCGTACAGATGACCAAGCTGCCGATGTGTATGACAAAGGGAACGGTCAGGAATCGGACGTAGTCCCACGATTGATTGCAGGGCTGCTCATCGCAGAACTTACCAGTGAAGCCGACGATGTCCGTCAGTACGACTGTTGTGCTGACAAAGACATCCGGGAGAGGCTCCCCGTCAAAGTCGTCGCCGCTGTGAAGGAACTTCGGCACAATGTAGACCGCAATGGACAAAATAGCATCAATACTAACCAGGAGGCTGGCATATCCCATCAGGTCAGAGCGGTGATCCCCGAATGTCGCTAATGTCGCAGCGATGACAAGAACGATGACATGGACAAACAGGACAAAGCTCATGGGCCTGGTGTCGTTCATGTCTTCGCGCACTCGAAGCGACACGAAGGCAATCATGCCAGCAGGGAGGATCACCAGAGCCCTCCATGCGTAACTGACAAAATACCAGACACCAGAGCTGCTGATCGCCGAGTCCAAAGAATACGTCGAAGAGGGCGTCCCACAGTAATCGTACGCTGTGATGATGGTGTCTCCAGTGGTTGCATCTTTGCTGGTGACCTCGTATTGGAAAGCTTCACGAGGCGGATCAACCAAAGTCCACGCAACAAGATATGCACCGACTGCCAAGACGCCTACGAACGTGACGGCGTAGAGGTGACCGAGTTTGAGACGGACTCGTTGCATTTGTTTTCCAGATGTTGCCAGATTGTTGATAGCGTTGATCCGGACGAGCATGGGAAACAAGTGAACCGCATACCCAAGATTGACAGTCCAAGCAATGGTTCCACAACTTGCGTCGCTCGGAGGGACCACCATGAAAATGGCTCCAATAGCAGCTAATCCCAGTCCAACCAGAAAGAGCGTCATGAATTCTGGTTGAGTGTAGTACAGGACTTTGGTGTTCTTTTTCACATAGGTCACCACCAAACACACGAGCACCAGGATGACTGCCGCAGAAGCAAAGATACTGGCTATCATGAAGAGGGGATGGTCTGTAATATCTTCGTCTTGAACAACTCTTGGATGGGATTCTGGAATGAAACTTTGCAAAAGATCCAAATTTTCGACGGCCCACTCGCAGGTGGCCTCACGCAGCGTGAGCCCATACAAATCCGCTTCCATGCGACGCGAGACCCACTGCAAGATCGCGCCCAACTGTGGCCCACTAATTTGAAAGTTGTGAATGACATCATAGGCTGGACTCCATAGTGCTTCAGGTATTTCCGGATCGAATGCAACATCATACAGCACTGTTCCCACGACCTTCTTCAGGGATACTGTCGTTGCCGCGCAAGTTCCTGCGGGATCACCGTATAATTCCTCCGGCGTAGATGTACCATCCCGTTTCCCACATCGTTTGGTAGGATCGATGCGCGCATCGAGGCATTCCTGAGTGGGTTCTGGAAGTACAACCCTTGTTGGTTCAAACTCTGTGCCCATGAAACTTTGATGTAGAATTCCCAGATCGAACCAGTATACCAATAGATTGCTTTTCGTGGCATTAGCTGCAGCATAAATTTGCCCCATTCCAGCGAACCCACCAGCCTCGTCAAGTGGATTGTCGGATTCGAGTGCAATGCCAAGGTGATGAAGCTGTTGATTGGCGAAGGAAGCCTATCAATCAAGGAGAAAGATATTGCAACATACGGTAGACGAGACGACCGGGATAGGAGAAACAACCAGAACATCAAGTCTGTGAGTGCTTCTATTAGGAAAGCTTTGTTTGGTAGCGCAGTGTCTTGTTCAGTTGACTTACCCAGCCGCATGGAAAATCTGCAAAGAAACCTAGAGTAATGGTATGCAGTGGAAGCAATATATTTGTGTGAGTATGTGTCGGGTTCGTCAGCAAAGCACCAGAATATTTCATAATACCAATACCGTACCTGTACAGTTTGGATTGACGTCACAATCGTTCTTGTCCGTATACCTAAAATACCCATTGTACTGGCCGGGAACAAAAAAAAAGTTCTCTTCCTCTTCGTTTGTTGGAGGCCCAGTGGCAGTGTCATCGGGTTTGGCGCAGTTATCCGTGGTTTCTTCTTGGCAATACTGTTTCCAGGTAGTTGGTCGTTTGAATGTCTCTGCCAGTTTTCGACGATTCTCTTCCCCTTGCAATCCCAAATAGGAAACCAAAGAGCTATCGTTTTGTGCGGTGAATTTGACCACCCAAAAGGACTGGTAGCCCAAGGCACCCAGCTCCATGGGAGGTTCTGCTCCCGGAAGACGGAGACTGGTACTTCCAAAGCGGGCTCCCCACCACACCTCGGGTACCATGTGAAAACAGGGCTGATATTCTGCTTCGTCCTTGAGCTTTCGACAATCCTTCACTTCGGCTGCTTTGGTAACTTCTCCATAATAAAAGTCTCCCCCTCCAAACCCAAAGTCAGCATCGGGATTGTAAAAGTCCAGTGCACTGCTTTCTTTCCCCATTTCCAGCTGTCAGAAAGAAACAAACTCTACATGAGCAATCTAGCTAGACACACACATGCACATGCACATGTTATAGGTGTTGTCTACTCACCGTTGTGGGAACCTCCAACAACTCAGACAAGATGATTTGGAGCAGCCACGCCGAAATGTAGTTGGTTTCCCAACTCTGACTGGCAATTCGGATCTCCGTGTAGTCCAAGAGCGGAGACGCATGACAAAATCCCATGCTGGCGGCTTCCGGAGGATCGTTCGAGTTGCAAACGCGTGATTTGGCAGTAAAGTTTCGATACACCGAGATCTTCTCTTGCATGCGATGCAGGCATCCACCCTGGTAATACGGATTCTTGTGCAGCAGTTGCGCGGGTTCCTCTAGCACAGCCCAGGCAACTTGAAAACTTCCCATTATCAGCAATAGCAGAAGCGACATGTTGATCCTTATTATTGGAGTGGCTGATGTTATCATTGTCAACAGCATCATCTGTGCTGGTGGTATTAGCTATCTATTATCTTGGAAGCTCGTTTTGTGTCTTCGTTGCTTCCCTCGAGCTTTGGGGAAGCTCTACCAGTACACACTGTGTACCATTCCGGTAGAGCTACTAGCTTTGGAGAGTGGTTTTCGGTAGGGGAGCAAACGCACAAGCGTTAGAGTGACAGTCATAATAAGCCACGGAGAGCTTTGCATTGAGGCAATGAGGCATGAGTTCTCACTCAACGACCGCGTTACAGCCACAATGACATTCGGAAAACCCAAAAGGAAAGAACGAATTGATAATTAACAAAGTCATAGTTGACTGTTCTTCCCTCCACTTTTCACCAGGAATGACGCAAGGTTCGGAGTTTGGAGGTGCTTTCGGATGAAACTGTTAAATCTTCGAATTGACCACTATGAATACCTTCCGTCTTCTCAGAACCGGTACGGTACCTGGTACCTGTACCGATTGGTACCATACAGCACATAGGCCCTACCGTGATAAAACTGAGCCCGCAGACCGTGTGGCTCCTAACCTTTTGCGGCAGCAACCTACTAAGGTGGTAAGGTGTCATTGTTTCATTGATGATGTCTGATGATGCCAGAGGGTTCCTCGAGATTTGATGCTCCTCCTCTTGTACTTCTTACCTTCCATCCCGCAGATTCACTAGACGTTCGATCCAGTGGCATTGGAGATGGGAGGAGGCTTGCTCGATTCGATTCGATTCGATTCCACTGGTTTCCTTTGTTGAAGCAAGAAGAATAGACTACCAGGTACGTGCACCGGGACGAACCCACCCGGACGAAGCGACTCTTACAGTACCGGTACCATGTAGTCTAGGCAACAAGTCTAGGCAACAAGAAGCAAACTTGGTTCATTGCACTGCAGCGATCGTTTTCTTGTTCCAGACAGCCTTATACGATACGGTACATACCTGCATTCATCTAGCTCTGCTTGTTCGTCAAGTTGCCCATACCTTGGTCACTTGCGGCTGTCCCTGCCAAGGCGTTGTCTCTCCACTCGCTCTCAACGAAAAGGGAGCAAACGTTCAGCACGACAAACGCAGCTCTACTAGTATGACGTCTGCACATGGGGCACCTCTGCGAGGTTGGTTTTGAATAAACACTTCATGATGGTGACAAATAATATCCAGCAACCTGCTTGGTACCCAAACAGATGCGGAACATCCAAAGCTTCCAAAAAAGCAGGAGGGCTCATCAGCGGAACTTTTCGGACGCAGTAGGTCTACTAGTACTATTTTTAAATAGTATTTTCCGAACCTTTGCACTCAGTCTTGCTTATCCTCATCACGACATGTTTATACCTTTATGTTAAGATATATTACTGTAAGAGCACACGCAGGACTACATGTAGGGACTGTATTGGTGTGAGAGCTATGCATATAAGCCTATTTCTGATTGCCTGCATCGCAGATAGCAGTACGTACCAGTACGGTACCAGCAGGCCAGGCGGAAGGATCAAGTGCTGTTGCCGATAGACTTTCATTGGCAAAACTTTTGGAAATCTACCTTTGTTAAGAGGATTACGGATCCAGTGCTCCAATCCCTGTTGACCGCCAGGATGTAGCTGAGAATATCTTATTACAAAGGGATACAAAGGCATGTCTCAAAAAGGAAAGCCTGCCAGTCTTGTCACATACGGTGTACAGTGCTCGACTCGACTCGACTCTACTCTGGTTGTGCTCAGTGGTCCAATCCAAATCTTTTGGATTGAGAACTGCCTCCGTCGCAAGAGTGACAATAGAAGAAACATCACACACTCGATCGTCCTACAAGACAAGAGTTTGAAAAGAGAAAAGAGAGAACCACCCCCCACCAACAGCCAGCCGCTAGTAGATTGTCTTTGTTGTTGAGAGAAGGTTCGCACCGAAATCATGTCGGCGTCGTTCGAACAATTGTTGGGAGCAGCCGCAGATGTCAGAGAGTTGGAGTATGTGGCCGCTCTGCATCAAACGGATCAAACCAGAGTGAGGAACGATGGAAGCATCAAAGGTAAGCCAATCACGGTACTGAAAAGATCGTTCGTTGCCTGTGGGTGGTATTGGCCAGTCTTAACCTACATTTTCTGTTTCATCTTTTTGTGATTCTATTCTTTTTATAGCCGAAGACATTCAGTTTTTTCTTTCCAGTCGATACGGTATCATTGTGGATGAAGAAGATGTCAAGAATTGCATCATGTCCAGTTTGGGTGGTGGCGACGAAGGTGTGGTTGGTGGTGGTGGCAGTGGCAGCAGCACTGAGCAACAAGACGACGAAGGACGGGGTGGATGTTGTCAATCAAAGGAAGAACCACCTAGTGCGGACGGTGACGTCCTGGACTTGATGGAGATTGTGGCCATGTTGTTGATCCCTACGTTCTTAAAAGCTGCTCATACAGATACAGGAGAATTGACAGAGGTAGAATTTGAAAGCATTATTCAAATGGATCCACCACCCGCCAAAGAAAAAGAAGAACCACCCAAAGGAGTTGGAGATTGTATCAGCTGGTTCCTCTCGGGAGGGTGCTGCAAAATGAACGACTCGTCTCCCGAACAAAAGAAAATCGAACAATCCACGCCGTTTAAAAGAAGCAGCATCACCGGGCCTCCCACCACGGGGCTGGAACTTGGACCGCAAAGAATGCTGGATTATGTCTTGAAAATGATATTATTTGATGTCACCAAGAGCTCCACTCCCAAGACGCTCTCTCCAGCTCTGATTGCAGAAATATTGGTGGCCTATGGGGAACATAGTCTGGCCCAGGACACGGAACTAGTCAACAAAATGTACGAGGCGGCGATAGACCCCAGCGACAACAACGCAACCCCCGTGCTGAACGTCGAGGCGTTTGCACGAGCATTGACACATGACGTACTCCTTTACGATATCCGCAACGAGAACCGCAGAACAACCAACTTTAACGATGTCGTTTTCACGGAACAAGAGCTGGATGAAAGAGAGGAAGCGGCCATTGAAACTGTCAAGCAAGATCCAGAGGGACGGGATTCCGAACTCATTGAAGTATCGCGATACTACAATTCCCTAAGAAACATGTTGGCAAGGGCCGAGCATCTGGAACAAGTCGACACCATTCCCGCCATTGATATTCGTGCTGGAACATATCGATCCAAGGGATTGTTGGTCATGCTCTTCTCGACAATCATGATTACCTGGTTCGCGTAAGTCCCCGCATTATTATTGTTTGGTGTTGAGCAAGACGATCGGATTGGGCTCACACCGACTCGACTCGCTCCTCTTCCCGCCCCTTTAGATACTTTTCAAATTTCGACACAAAGGTGCTGGAAAAGTGCACGGAGATCTATGATCTTTCGTATGCGTGGAACTCTCCTTGGGAAGAGAATGTGAGTTGCTGCCGGTGGTTATAGTTGCGTGTGTGTGTGCGATGACAGAAAGTGCATGTATGTGAAGCTGACCCTTTCTCTCTTCTGACCACCAGACGGACGTCATTGCCTGTGAGGCGCTTGGCAGCATTATCAACTGGCTTGTCTTCTTTCTGGGGCTGAGCGCGTTTGGTGTGATTGGTGTGACCATTGGAAGTATCGGCAATGATGTAGTTTGTGAGTGTACTTTGGTGTTTCGACGCGTCCTGTAAAACGTACGGGGCTCACACACTTTTTGATCTTCGTTCAGCCAAGGAAGGATGGAAACCCCTTGTTGGCATTGCTGCGATCTTGCTCTTTGTCACTGTGCCTTATTTTGTCAGAAGAAGCATCACCAGCAGCGAGGAAGATCGGCAAGAGAACACTGTACTTTACTTCGCGTCACTCGTCTTTGCGTTGATCACTTGCTTCTTCCATTTGAGCCATGCATTGGCCCTGATCTATTCAACCGACTTGTCGGAGGAGTTTCGCAAAAGGGCACCTTACGTGGCATCTCATCCCATCCTCAAAAGCACAGTCAGCGAGGAACAAGGAGTAAAGAAGGCGACTGCGATCAAGCTCACCCAAATGCTCGAAAACGCCATGACAATCCAGAAATCCAAAGACTTGACTGCTGTACCAAAGAGCCACCACGGACAGGCATTGAAGCAGTACGAAACAGAAGGAAAACGTTTCAGGACAGCGGGAGGATTCTGGTGGGCTTGGAGGGAGATTTTTGGGAGCAACCAAACATTCGCTCGAGACGGCATCTGGGTCCCTGCTCGAATGATTTCTGCAAACATTGCACAGTACGTGGTGGCCTTTTACGTTGCGCTTGGAGGATTCTACTTGGCCACCGATGCAGCAGAGAACTATGATATCGAATGGGCCAAACGACACATCTCCCAGTACATCGACCGTGCGTTTGAATTCAACCAGGACTCTCTGGCGGTGTTGAATGCGACCGCAAACGTGACTTCGATTGTGACAGACTACTTGACGGTTCTGAACGAAACATACCCTGACATATCAAAAGGCTGTGCTATCCCCCTATCGGCTGCGGACTCTCTCTCGGCTACGGATTTGCTCCTGAGCGAATACTGCACGGGAACACAGGAGGTATTCCAGTGTGATTTCACAGATGCGACCGATGTCAACGTGTTGTGCCCGCTCTTGGACCCCACAGCTGCCCAATCTCTCAACGCCTCCACCACGTTGGCCTTGTTGAGTGCGTCTGGGTTCGAAACGGAATCCTTGCAGGCTGCTGCTTACGAGGCCGCACAGCAGGCCGCTTACGAGAGCGTTGACAATCTATACCCCACGTGAGTTGCCTCGTGGGTACGCGGTTTATGGCTGCTTTCAAAAATCATGCGCCTCTCACTGCTTTTTTCTCTCTCAGGGACAAGTACATGATCACGATCCCTCTGTATGTCGCGACCGTCATCGCATTCTTGATGGCGCTCTCGCTTGCTGTCATTTATATCCCTTCGACGGTCAACACGATGCTGAGGCTGAGATGCGGCGACATCCCCACTCTGCGCAACAAGGACTTCCATCGGTACAGAAACGCACCGGATCTGGTGTCGCAACTCACCGGTAGCCTGTTTTGGGGCAGTCTGTTTTCCAGCGTGCTAGTGGGTGGTGTCATCGGGTTGATTATTTTCTTCTTCGTGAGTGTTTCTTCTCGCTCGCTGTCTTTGGATGGGCTCTTTGTTTGTCGCCTAACCCAAGCTTTCGTTGTTGCAGCTGTGGCAAGGTAGCGTCTACTACGCCCAGCGTGTTGTGGCTATCCTTTGCGGAATTGTTAGCGTGGTGATCGTGAGGCAAGCCATAGTCTGCAGTTGCCGGTGCACGCAGTACAAATCATTCTATCGGAAGCATCCTGCCTCTGCCAACATTAGTATCCTTGCGTTGGAATGGGGAAGCTTTGCCTTGTCGGCTGCTTGGGTGATTGTGCGCTCTGTGAAACTGCTGCTAGCCTCCGCGACATTCATCGGTCGGGTCGACACGCCGTAAGCATGAAGAGGTCATTGTTGCTGTTGGTTCGTCTGTTCCTGCATGCTCACACCGTGCTGATCTGCCAGGTTTTTGGCCCACAACGTCGGGAGAATTGGCCCGTTGGAGCTCGACTCGGCCCCCATTATTCATATGAAGGAAATTCTTAGCCACGAGGCGCACAGACACCCGTACATCGAACAGCTTGGGGTGATCTACCTGATGAAGCTTCGATACTCGGACGACTTTGGGAACAGAGCCGGTACCTGCTGGAGGCTGGTGAGTGTAGGGCTTGTTTGTGACACCCACCACGGCACAACCATGTCGCTCACGTGTTGTTTCTTGCTGCATCGCGAAGCTGTTTGTGTATGCTCTCATGCCTTGGCTAAGCAAGTATCGCATCACGGCTCGCCCAGGCAACGAACAAAACGACGTTGGAAAGCTACAAGAGCACTACCCGTCAGCGAGCTTCGCCGTTAGCCTGAGGAACCTCGCCACTGAAGACAAAGATGTTCGCATGGCAGAGCTAGATTCGGAGAATCAATGGCTCCAAACTGAGTACCGGAAGCTACAGGAGAAGTTGGCCAGGGACACAAAGGAGACGGTTGCACTATACAACTACGAAACATTTCATGGGTTGACTCACGGCACGGCCACCGTCGATATGGTGGCCATGCTGCCTGAAGGAATTGACGGTTGGGCCGACGGTGGGGGGAAGAGGACAAGTGGAAAATCTTCCAGGAAGAAGCCAGGTGTTGCCCTGTCTGATTTGCAACCGGTTGCCCCACCCGAGGAAGCCTTTGAGGCTTGACCTTCCAGCCCTCGCATTGCATTGATAAAACCGTAATATATTTACTGCATTAGTTAGCCCAGCAATTGGAGCCCGCGTGCGGCGTTCGACGCATTCTAAATAAGTTGTTACTGTTTGCTCGTGTGTATATCTCTTAGCGGCGGTGGATTCGTTCAATGGAAACATGTATTGCTGTGTCGACCGACCGACTACACGAGCCGACTCGACCCAGGACAGAAAACATATTTCTGGGAATCCGACATCCATTGGCGCAGAAAAGCTTACCAATCAGCACTTCCTTCGAATTGGTTTGAGTTCTCGGGTGTGATGCCGTGTTTGGCCAGCAATTGTCCGAGTGGGGATTCGACCTTGACCTTTCCGCTCATGAATGGGTAGAACTTTCCGGGTGGGCCTGGATTCTTGATGAGTTCCTCCTTGACGATTTCTTCAATTTCCTCTCTGCCGTGGGCAATGGAATAAACGGTTTCTGCTACCTTGGCAGGCACGACAACAACACCATCCTGATCTCCAACGATGGCGTCACCAGGTCGAACGGTTGTTCCAGACACGCTGATGACTCCGTTGCATTCCCAAGGTTGCATAGCCGCAGGTCCTTTAAAATTTCAATCAATCAGCCATCAAGGTGCAGTCCAGGAACGAGAAGTAGTGAGGTGACAAACCAACGAAAGCGGATTGAAGATTCTCTTAAGAGTCGACTTTGGGTGGGTGCGTACCTTGGCGAGCGGTTGTCGAGTGGGAAAAGCATGGGAATCCGTAGTTGATGATTTCGTCGGTATCCCTCACGCTTCCATTAGTGACCAATCCTCCAATTGCACGTTGCTTGAGACGCAAGAACTTGATGTCTCCACCAACGCTCTCTTCGGGACCAACACTGGCCATCACAAGAACCTGTGAATACCAGAACAGAAAGTGAAAGTTGAACAATAATAAAAAAATCAGAATTTCCTCAGGTTGAATCTAGCAGACTTTCAATGGAAAGTGATATCTCCCTGGGCATACCTCATTGGGACCGCACTTCTCGAAGGCTTCATACTCGGGAGATTCGCCTCCAGCAGGCTTGTCAGCAGCAATATCGGGTCTGGCAGGGACAAAGTTGAGCGTCACGGCGCGTCCACAGCATTTCATTCCTGGGGCCAATGCGCGTGCTCCATCGATCTGAGCCGAGGGCCATCCCATCACCCAAAGACCATCGACCAAAGCTTGCGTGGAGAGACTTCCAAGCCTGCCAAGAAGTTCATCCGAGATTTCGCCGCCGCTGGCAGGTCCGATGGCAAAGGTACGACGAGCTACCGACAAAGTTGCAGGGCGAGCGAGACGACTGGTAAGGGACATCATGATGGTGCTATTATTATTATGTTGTTGCTGATGAAGGAATGAACAGCTGTGGGATTTTGATTTGTTTTCTTTGGGATGTTTCGATGAAAACAGAGAGATGCAGTTTCGAAGGAAAAAAATGTGCTTCCATCATTGTTTGTCGACTTGGCAGTGACGTCAGCCTTTAGCCTTCAACAAAAAATCTTTTGAGGCACCAAGTATCCGTAGTTTCTAGCTAGCTAGCTAGCTAGCTAGCTAGCTAGTAGCTAGATGTCCAAACACCGGGCTCCGGGCTCTATTATAGCTAGGTGGCTACCGGAAGCGTAGTGGAATGAGGATGTGTTGAGATACTTGAGAACAACAATGCTAAAGCAAGACAGCCCCGCCCCGGTTGTTTCATCAGACAACTATGAGATCTTTCAAAGCCACACAGCCAGCATTGGCAAGTACGGCACGGGCCAGGGGGCGACCTTGCAAAGAGATTGATTCTTGCCCACCGAGGAATATGGTAGATGAAGGCCACTCAGTTTCAGTTTTTAAGTGTGCAACATGGTTGGATGTCAGGACTCATGCAGGATCCATACGATTGCATCTCATGCTACCACTATAGCTATACTGGGATCAATAAGTGATAATAAAGGTAATCTGATTCTTTTCTGTCTGTCTCAGCAATTCTTTAGTTGTCTTCATAACTCGCCGCAGCAGCAACCCAGTCACAACCATGTTCTCGATTTGCAAACTAGATGTTGGACCTTGACGAGAGAAGCTCGAAACGGTCTTGGATCAAGTCCTTTTCCAATGTCCCTCCCAACTGCGCCATGTTCGCTGGAATGCAGTCGCGGCCCAGCTGCCCTTCAATCACCTTGCGTGGATCCTCCTTTTTGATCAGTGTCAGCCTGGATAGCATCTTCTTGCTTAGAAAAGGTTTGGAAAAGGTCATGAGCAGCCGCATCCAAGTAGGATTGTTATAAAAAATGATGGATTCAACGCGGATAGGTAATCTCCCAACCGTAAAGCTGTCAAACTTGCTCTGTATAGATTCAATGCAGCATTGTGAGCAAGTAAGTGGTCAAGGTTCGGAAACAGCAACTTCTTTTGTAAGGTTCAACATCGTAAGGTGGTCCTTACCTGCATCTCCAAGGGCACCACAGTCAAAGATTCAAACAAGCCAATGCTACCAATGCTGTAGACAAGAACTACACCATTTTCCTGCATTCCCTTGTCAAACATGATCAAGTGTGCCAGCCAGACGAGGTAACGAAAGGTATCATCGTGCGGGAGCTTGTGCTTTATATACTTCAAGTCCAGTGCCTCCAGATCACAAAACCAAACGAGACGTCCCTCTTTGTCATGTGTCATTTTCATATCCCAGACCTTGGCAATCTCCTTCATAGTGACACCGTTTTGAAAGTCCAGATCCCTGGCATTCTTGTCCATCCATTCAATGTAGGATTCCAAGCGCCGGAATGCCTTGGATACGTTAAAGACTTGCTTTTCCTTGTCGTGCTTTTCATAGATCTTTTTGGACCACAAGGCGAATGCCCTCAACAAGTCATCTTCTGTGGCATCAAAGTCTTTCAAGGGAGTGAGTTCAAAGTCCCAGGCATCTTTACTATTATTGTTGCAGCTATCGGCATGGTGTTTTCTTGTTTGAGCTACCAATGCTTTTAGCTCTACCATGGCCTCGTCGAGCGACTTGCAAAAGGTGTCTCCCTTTTTCTCCTTGCCGCCTCGCATGCTGAGCGTCTCGAGAGTTGCCGAGAGAAACGATTTACTCTTGCCGTCATTGCCACTGGTAACCTCGGAGCCAAAGATTTTCTTGATATCAGTACTAGTACCACTCTTTTCGTGATCTCCATGATGGCCCTCACTGTTCTTTGACAATGCTGATTCCATCTGCTTATCCGCCATGTTTTCGTGGAAAACGAATGAAGGGATGGGCAATCCAACGTCTACCGGTACCGCTAGTAGAGAAAGGTCGTTTTCGGGCTGGATCGAAGCGAGAAATGTGAGCAACCGACCCAAGTTCATCAACTCTTGCCTCGATACTGGTACATGCACCTGAATATTGCTGGAGCTGGAATTGCAGGACCTGCAAAGGCCATCTTTGCAATCTTACAAAGCTTTCTTCACAGGTCTTCTGGCACCGTTCTCGATTGACTGCCTTGCGACAAAAGATCCGGCTCGGAACCAGGAAAAGGAACCCAGTCAAGAGCGGGTTCCAGGCAGTCCCAGCCACGGGAAACAAAGCTTTCGCTCCCAAATTCAAAGACATCACGACATCATCACCTCTCCACTTCTTCTTCCATCCCACTAACCAGTGCTCTTCTCAATTCATACCGTAATTCATTGTGATTGCTGTTGTCTTGTTTCTTTCTTGCTGAATATTATTTGTGACGATGATCTTGCAAGCGATTGTGGGCGTTCTCGTACTGACCCTTGCGGTAGTGGTCCCCTTTGTTCCTCAACAGCTCTATGAAGAAAACTATTTGGAAAAGACGCAGCATATCTTGTCATTGGACTACTCGTCCGAGCTCTTTGAGAAGCCCACCACGGTTGCCGTGACGGGGGCCAACTCTGGTCTTGGCTTTGCATCCGTGCAGCATTTGGTACATCGATGCATTGCCAAGAAAAATTCCGCTGCCAAGATGACCATTGTCATGGCGTGTAGAAGCATGGAACGCTGCGACAAGGCCAAAAATGACATTTTGCAGCAATACAACCAGCCGGATGCCGCTCTGGTCGAGTTGGTGACCCTCCAACTCGATCTAGCCAGTAAAGAATCCATTCAAAAATTCTCTGTCGAGTTGCAAAACAAGACCCCCAGACCACCATCGCCTCCAACCGAAAAAGAGGATCCAGAAGAAGAAGGAGAAGAGAACAACAATGACGAAGACACAACGGATACTACTAGTGATAGTACTACCACTAGTAATTTTGCAGTCCCTCCTCTTCATGTCATGATCAACAATGCAGGAGTCGCAGCACCCTATCCTCAGCTAGAGTATCATCCAGCCTATGGAATTGAAACACAGTTCCATGTCAACTATATTGGTCATGTCCTCTTGACGCACTATGTGTGGAGCAATATCATGGCTGTCAACCAACAAGATCCCACTCGCAAGGCTCGACTCGTCACCGTTTCCGAAGGTGGAGCTCGCTTCCCCGTAGACCCCATGAAGGGATGGTATGCCCAAGAAAACACTCCCCATACTGGCATTCTGGCACCAATCCTCAACATGGTCACCAACATGAAACAATATGCTCGATCCAAGCAAGGACAGTTGTTCTTTGCGGCAGAATTGCAAGCTCTTTATCCAGATAGTTTGACCACTTCGGCCGCACAGCCTGGTTACACTCGCACCCCAATTTATGTCTCGGGCTTTCATGGCTTTCCAACATTCCTCAAGTACATTGTCGGATACAACCCCCTAGGATCCATGTCCCCCGAACAGGGAGCCGAAACCATATTGCTCAGCACATTGGATCAAACTGCACAATACGTTGGGCCCAAATGGTTCTTTTTTGGACCACCCGTAGCTGTCGGAAGAGGTGACAACCTCAATGCTGGATCGGTGCATCATCGGCCATTCTCAAGACAACGAACCATGGCCCTTTGGGATAGAACCATCAAAGTGTTGGGAATTGCAGAGTTTGGAAAGAAAGACTATGTCACCATGTAGTTAGGAACGAACAAACGAAAGCAACCATCCGCGCAACTATAGCTATAGAGTAGCTACAAAGTTAGAGAACAAAAATTGGCAACAGTCGGCAAAAGTGAGGAGTGATAATGCATTAGAGGAACAGTTTTTAAAAATAGACGCACTGGTTAGCAGCAACGGCAGTTCTTTGCCACTTTCCTCCCACAAGGTCAAATGAAGGACACTGTTGGCCGCAGAGATGAAAGCGACTGACATCCGCTTGATGGACCAACGCCAACGGGCACACTGTTACGTGCTTCACGTCAAGCTGAGCACACCGTCGCGCACACATCTGCAGTGAAGAACCTGACGCGCATGTTTTGCGCTCTACTGCAGTGCTGGAAGACTCGACTCCACTAAACTTATTTCAAGCAGAAAGGCAAAACTCCTACAGTGGAAGGTTCTACTTCACTTAAATGTATCAGTCTAACATCACGGTGTAAACATCACGATGAGAGCACAGCACTAGCTGGCTAACGTAGCGTGAATCATAATAATACCGGTAGCAATCATTGCTCCAACCTCAACAATAACCTGTTGGAGTCCTGATTTTTAAAAAAGTGGGTCTTGTCTCAGCTTCCAATCAACAAACACCACAGGTCTTTCTTGGTTTGTTGGTGCCAAACACTTATTTCTTGCGTTGGTAAGGTCCAGCTGCTCTGACGTTTCCCATAACCTTTTCAGCGTTCTTGGCAATCTGGTCCCAGTCTCCCGAAGCAATCGCATCCGGGTTGAAGAGGGGGGCTACGAGACCCACAGAGGCTGCTCCGTGATTCAAAAATTCCCCAGCATTGTCCAAGTCAACTCCACTGTGAAGTAAGTAGTCAGGGAACAAGAGGAAGTGTCAGAGAAATGTTTTTAATGTTTTGATTGATGTTCAAGAGTTTCCAGTATAGTACCAAATGAATAGACCTACCTGGTTGGGTTGATGGCAAGGTGGGGCTGGAGCGTTTTGGAGAGTTTCAAACAAGCAACACAGAAGAAATTTGAGTCATAAAAATAATTTTCAAAATGCAAGGAAAACTCTTCAGAACAGGCTTACCAAAGCCGAGCTGACAGCCTTGACCCACATGGGACCTCCTGCAACTCCAGGGAAAAGCTTCTGCAGGGGAGCTCCGCACATGTAAGCGGTGTGCAATTCGGTGGGAGTTTGGCATCCTGGAACACAGACAATTTTGCGGTCTCGGCACCATTCAATGACTTCGGGAAGCATGACGGGAGTGATAATGAATTCACTTCCAGCATCAATGGCCCTTTCAGCATCAGCGGGGTTCATGATGGTACCACTTCAGTAATAAAATTAATTGTTGTGAAGGAAATATATTTTTGCAAGGAAAGTTTCAGTAGTTGAAACAACAAGAGACAGACAATTAAATTAGTTGGTGAGAGAATGGGAGATATTGCAACCACAATGCCGCGCTCAAAACTGTAGAATTTCTTACCATCCAACCATGACGTCTCCGTCATATTTGGCACGGAAGTCAGCGAGGTGGTCAAGGCAGTCAGGAGTGGTAAGGGTGAACTCGACGATCTTGAATCCTCCATCAATGGCAGCTTGCATGGCCTTGGGGCATGCTTCCGAAGTGGCGGTACGAAGGACGGCACAGGCACGAATCTGTGCGAACTTGTCCAAAACAGCTTCGAAATTTTCCGCAGAATGCATGCGGTCAAGCTCGCCACTGGCGGCGGCACTGGACAGAAGACGAGTGTTCACCACAGCTCCACTGCGGGCAAGAGTACGAGAGGCAGCAAGTCGGAAGGCCATTGTTGCTTTGTTGTTTGGGTAGAAAATTTGATTGGTGTTGGGTTGATGGGAAGAACAAAGATGTTTCGTTGAACAAAGAAAATGACGAGAGCGCGGGAAGAAAAACCAAAATGTGACAAGAAAAGATTCACAAGTCATGACGTCAGCCTGGCTACCGGTAGCGGGGGTCCCACCTTCAACCAGAATTTGCCAAGCCTACGTAGCCCCGACGTGTTGCATTTGCCTGAAATTGCACTGTTGTACGTGGCCTTGGGAAGGTTATCTGATTGGTTCTTGTGGAATAGTTTGAGAGAATCTTTCGCGTGAATATCTTTCCTCTTGTTGTCGGGCACACAGGACCTTTGAAGGTTTGCGATTCAGGAACTAAATCCAGTCACCGGTTAGTCCACAGTAGTGGAAATAAATTTTACCTTTTTACGAGACGGACAATTTGACTTGGTAGGCGTAATCGCTAGTTACTTGAGCCTAGATCTTGTCGCTTAATTCAATAAATTCTTGCAGATCTCACTAGTTAGTAGGTTTTTCTTCATTTATACCGGTGAAGTTGGCTCATAGGGTTAGGAATGTTTGGAGTCTCTAACCTTAAGCGGAATACTCCTTGATTTCGTTGATGGCTGTCTTGAGATCATGGGGGAGATAGCCTTCTCCATAGGAGGTGACCTGCCCTTCCATCAAGGTCAAAACTTCCTGGTAACAGAAGTCCTTGGTGGTTTTATCACATCCGTTGGCCTTGTCGATGAGTTTCCAAACAAGCTTAATGGTTTTGCTGTAGACACGGGTATCCTCAAGGCGTTGGTAGTTTCGTTACCATCGAGATCGGAATTGGTGATACTCCATGCCACTTTGGTTTGATCAATCATAATCGCAGTCTCCCAGGACGAGTCTAACTTGACATGCGTACAACGTGCGGGGCTCTCAGCAAGAATGGTCATTGTTGAATCAAACAAGTTGCGAAGTTGGGATGAACGGGGCTTGACTTACTTTCTTGTTGTATGACGATCTGGCTTACCAGACGACTCCTACCGTGGACGTGGACAGTCGTCCTTGCTACCGTGGACCGTCTGGTGCGCTTCGCTGTGAGTGCCTTTTGGCTTTGACCTGCATGTAAATATTCCGGATACTCGGAACAAATACAGGGCCCTGTAGTATGCACATGCGCTTCGCTATGGGCACCTATCGGCTTTGACCTGCAGTCGGCAGACAAGGTGTACTAGTAGGGTTATACGGGATCTAAAACTAAAGCTATAGCTGGGATTGTCAATCCGAGGCGTTCACATAGGCGGCTTCTAGTGTTCTTTAAGTTCTTGGTATGAATGCTCATCTGTTTGCCGTTCACATGAGAACCGTCATGACTGTGAGCGGGTCGTCCTGGTCAGACCGGCCAAGCAGGTACACCTTGCATTTGGTCATCGGAAATCCTGCGGTTTGTCCACGCGTAGAATCCGGCATATGCAAAAATTTAATCACGCTCGTAGATATAGGTTGCTGTCGAGTCTGTTCCCGGGATGTATGCTTCTGCGTACTCATGGTCGCAGCGGTCAAACATACATGGAATTTCCCACAGCTCCTTCGTTACGAACACCAAAAAGCACCCGCTGCTGGCCATGTATTCCGGTGTCACTTCAACGAGCTGCAAGTTAGGCCACCAGTTTTGGAGCAACAATCTCCATTCCCCGTTCACTTTGCGCATTCCAACAAGTACCATGGCGTGCCTCTGCATTTCCTTGGTCGTAGCAAAGGTTCCCTCAAAGCATTCAAGATGAACATCGCCGCCACTACCAAACCCACTAGCAGTTTTGAAGTTTTCCTCAATGGCAAAGTAGTGAATCAGGCCGGGTCCATACAACTTGAGTTGTTCAAAAAGCTCATTGGGATACTCGTTCTTGGTTTGATCCATCAAACCCATCTTAAACTTCACGGAAGACGTCCTCTCTCCGTCTATCATTGTCCGTAGCTCTTGCTCTGCATTACCACCCTTGTCTTCAATGATGTACTTTGAAACCTTCTCGCCACTGAATGAATGGCGAGCATACTTGGAAATGTCCACTACTTGGAGTCCTGCATTTCCCTTCAAGCAATAGGACTGTAGAACAGCCGGTGCATGCAAAAAGCAGCTTCCGGCACGCTGCACTCTTTGAATGAACTTGGAACCATAATCCTTGAAGGCATTCCATCCCTCACATCCTTCATCAGTCTTGTAGTCTCCTTCCTCATGTCCGTAAGCCATTGCAATCGAACACCAAGGCTGGCGGGGAACATCCGAAGATGTAGCGTCTCGGTCCCCTTTGAGGATGTCTCCTTCCAAACGGACGAACCGAATCGCCCTCTCGTGAATACAGGTTTCGGATGGATTCACCATCTTCTTCAACTCTTCCACGCGGCGATCACGATTGTCATCACCCTCCAAGAATCCACGACCGTACATTTGTCTCAGGATCACTTCCGCTTGAGATCGAGAGCCCACGTGCTCACCGAAGCCATCTGCTTCCATCTTAGCAATGATGTCACCGTCATCCGCAATAATCAGCTTGCCTTCATGATTGCTTTTTTTGGGAGGGGAATATTTGTCCTGCCTTGCCTTCTCGACCGTCCTCTGTTGCCCAAGGGTTAATGGCGGAGTTGCCGGACGTTGTGCCTGGGCCGCCGGTGATGAAAGTGCATCGGATTTCCTTTTCTTATCGATAAGGTCTCTGAGAACCCCCCCGCTGTCATTTTCATTTGCTTGTCGAGCAGATGAGGGTGCCGGGGCAGCACCCTCCTTTCTCGCTGCTTTGTCGGTATCCATCTTCAGACAAGTGTATGTATGTATGTATGCTGCGCTCCGGTGTGAATCGCTGAGGTATTTCAAGTCGCTGAAGTATTTGGCGGATACCCTGGTAGCGATTCTTGTTTTGTTGATGAAGATCGACAATGGGGCTTCGTTACTGTAGCAGTTAGTACATTTTCTACACGATCCCGTGTTTGGGGATCGTTTCTCAATCGAATAAGTCAGCGGGAGCTGCGATACCTCGGCAGAAAGACAGATAGAAGAAGGAGGATCATGTTCGAGATTGCACCCATCTTTCAAGCCAGCCCTGGCGACAACACCCGACTACGTCGTGTGTTGCCGCCCGGTATCATTCATTCCCTCATTGCAGCCTTCTTTATTAAGCTAGCCCTGGCAACAACACCCGACTACGTCGTGTGTTGCCGCCCGCTACTTTATAATTTACCAGCTGCCATTCCCTTATTGTAACTCTAACCTTTACAGCTCCTGCTGGCTTATTGTGCTGTTGTGCTGATTGCACTAACCTTAAATATTAATGATTTATTCCTACTCCTAACTTGTATTGAACCATCAATGTTCAGTTTTGTTGGCTTATGACTATTTCTATCCTTATACTTTGGCTTCACCGGAATAGGAAATAGGAAATAGGAAATAGAAAATAGGAAATAGGAAATAGGAAATAGCATTAAAGGGGTTGGGAACTCAGGCAGTTTACCTGCCGAGGTAAAATTTCTTCGCTAAAGCCTCGCTGATTGACGAGACTAGACTAGCTAGCTAGCTAGCCAGAACATAGTCCATGGACGACAGACAGACGGCTCCGATGCTTTAGGTGATGCTGGCGCGCAGTCGTTCGAGTTGGGTTCGGGTTGTGCATTCGAAATCGGATTGGAGCTGGAGCTGGTGTACGGCCTTGCGTATTTCTTGAGATGTAGGTGTTGACGTGTCCTTCCATCAACGTCAAGACCTCCTGGAAGGTCCCGCAAAACCTAAATAAAATCGCCAATTGGGGAAGAAGTGAATTTCATGGGAAAAGGACTGAATTTAATTCAGAAACAACTGAATCTCCGACTGAATCTAATTCGAAAACGACTGAATTTGTGCTGAATCTCTATCATGCATTTAACTAGCAAACGACTGAATCTCAGCTGAATTTAATTCAGAAACGACTGAATTTGCTGCTGAATTTATTCAGTCAATGACTGAATCTAATTCAGCAATTTTGCTAAATTAGATTCAGTCGCCCCAGAAGTCCTCCATCACATCCATTAGGCTTGTCGATGAGTTTCCAAACAAGCTTAATGGTTTCGCTGTAGACACATGTATCCTCAAGGCGTTGGAAATACTGGGTAGTTTCGTTGCCATCGAGATCGGTACATATATGCGATACTCCATGCGACTTTGGTTTGATTTGGTTTGATCGTCTCCTCCAACACTCATAATCCCAGTCTCCCAGGACGAGTCTAACTTGGCATCGTAGAACTCTCGATTAGTGACGATTGGGTCAGCAGGAGTGGGTTGATCATTGTTCATTGCTATGGGTTGAATGTTTTATTAGACGACGATGATGTGACAATGTGACGGGAAAATGAGGTTAAGGAGGGGTCTAAGCTACAACATCGTCTGAGCTCAGGTCGCCATGGGCATGGCTGCAGACCTGGCTACAGGAGGATCTCCTAGAATTAACTACAAGGTTGTAGGTCGCTCAATCGCCGCGAGGCTGTTTGGAATGACTCAATCGCTGCGAGGCTATTGGGACGCTCAATTGCCGCGAGGCTGGGTTGTAAGTTGCAACTGAAGGTGCAAGATCGGGGACGCGTGAAGTGGGGGTGTTGTTGTTGCTGTGTGTGCTGTCGTGTAGAGTGACAACTTGTTAGTGTGACAAGTGACAAGAATGGTTGTCACAAAGTGACAGCACTTGAAACACTTCACGCGTAAGAATTGTACCAGCCTCTACGAGGCGTGACAATTTGCCTTTAATAATCTACTGTAGGTCTGCGACCTACAGTAGAGGCAAATTGTCCTGATGCTCCAGACGCAACGCGACTCACTGGAGTAGAGATGGTCCAGCTTGCAGCTGAATGATTGAATCGAATCAATGCGCCTAAGAAACGGGTTTGATAACGGTTTTTAGCTGTCGACAGCATTGGCTACGCGTACGTACGCTCAAAGCTGTGGCTACGATTTGCCACAACAACAACAACATAACGATGTTCGGCGAGAGAGCTGAGAGGAGTGGAGAGAGAGCTGAGAATAACTCGAAGCTTTGAACGCTTCGAAAAGCTTCGAGTGATTCGAAAAGCTCGATAACAATGCAACAAGCAGCCGGAGCAACGAAGAGAGGAAGCAAGACCGTAGTTGCAACAAGGTCGCTTTGAGGGATGCAGCGACTTTAAATTTGTTGGTTGATTTGAGACCTCTTTCATTCTTGTTTTAGTTTAGGGGAATCTCAAATTAATGGAGGTTCCAAACTGAAACTTTGTATTAAGTCCATAGGGGGGATCTTAAATTAATGGAGGTCCCAAACTGAAACTTTACTATAGAAAATAAAGTACTTGGGACCTGGGACGGAGGTGAGGTAATAATAGGTTTCTCACCTGCCGTCCCGATATACATCCCATGGGCGGGGAATGTATCGTTTATCTTTTGTGCTCTGTTGGCTTAAACAGCCACCCTACTCCGAGAAGCTATGCAGCGAAGCAATTAGAAGCATGTAGCTATACGTCTATCTTTTCGGAGGCGAAAACTAAGTCGTCGCATTGATCTGAAGCTGTCGTTGACACCGTATTGTCTCCTTTTGATCGATTCATGGCCGTTGGATATCACCGATGTTTCCGTCGTCTCGCGGGTCGCTCCGAGTGTCAGTTCCTCTTGGGAGCAGCTATGCCAACTCCTGTGCGACTTGGCAGACTTGGCTGCTACTGTAATTGATGAAAGATTAGAACTTCTTGTGTAGGGCAATGGGTTATTGCCTCTTGACTGTGCTGTAGACTTGCTGGTCTTCGTTGTGCTTCGTTGTGCTTGCTAGTGCTTCTGTGCTCCCTTAAGGTCCTGATGTGCGCGGAAGTCAGCGGTGGATTACAGTGCACTTGATTACGATCATGACAACGCTTATGAACGAGATAAGATTAAGTTACTCTTCTAGTGATTTGTCCACATGGCGCGCGGGTTGCAAGTATCCGGAATACTTAACCTGATACATCTTGTGAGAATAGACATGTTCTATGAAGGAGTGGGGTGTGTTAGGTGGAAGTGGACGGTACCATGGCTTGGACTTGTTTGTCAGGAGCTCTTCGTTCATGCGGATGATAGAGAGGTGTGGTGTTGTAGCGGCATTGAATGGTTGTTTGCCTTGGATCTTGACATTTGAAGCCTCGCTCAACAATGCATTCTTAATGCGTTGCATCATGACACTAGCGTCTTCCATCGACGGGGGGACAGTGGGGTAGTTATAGAGGAAGCGTACCATGACCCTGATGGCTGCTTTAATCTTTCGGTATTTGCATCTCATGCGGTTGTCAACTTTGGGGGTAGACTTGTAGGATTCCATGAAGTTGCAGGCGAAGAAATTGATGAATACAACTTTGGGAGAGGTGTTCCTTGTAACAAGCTCAAGGAGAGTCTTGATAGGTCGGATGCTTAATTCAGACTGAAACGGAGACTGGGTGTAGTCAGCGGTGGTAGTGGAGGAGGTGACAGGAGAAGGGATTGGAACGACAGTGTCGATGAAGTTGGTCTTGGTGAACAGCTCTTGGCACGCCGTCTTGAACTCATTGAATTCAGCTAGTTCAAGCCCAGCTCGTGACAGTCGTCGTTGTAGGGTGGAAACAATGATGTGGTTCTTTGGGTCTTTGAATAAACCGTTGGGTTCTGCACGGATGTGGTCTACTAGCTGATCCCACTTGGATAGGATACACATGAGCAGCATTTGCTTGGCTTGGATGCAGAGCAGGTCTTCAGGGATATGGCCAAAGAAAACCGAGCGGATCTTGTCGCCGAGGTCATTTGAGATGACATTGTACGATGGAATGGTTACGCGCTGGTGTGTTAAATATACTCGTTAGTTTAAACAAACTATGGCCACGGAGTGGCTTTTGTGACGCGGGCAATTGGTGGGGAAGCCCCCACCTAGCTGAGTCGTCATCTACTTATTTGCCCAATCAACATGACCATCATCCACTGGCCAACGTGGAGCCAGTTGCACTACGCTAAAAGCTAGTGTAAAGATCTTTCGAGATTGTTTGAGTTTGGAGAATGAAAGTTTATGAGAGGATTAGAAAGCCTATGGAAAAACTTAATCAACGAGAGAGATCCACAATCAAAGGATCGTAAGATCTGAAATCCACGCGGGAAACTGTAGAGTGAGATAGAGTAGGTTGCGGTTAGCAACCTACTACTCCCACGATGCCAAAACGGAACGCGTGGAAGAAGTTCGTCTAGCATCATCTAGTAGCGTGGAAGTACTCCACTTGGTAAATATCTAGAGCGATGTTTCATCTATCAACCAGTATGACCAGAGACGGTCAATTGAGGAATTCTGTCTCCTCCCAATGACGTATTCTCGAAGGACTAGTCAAATGAGTCGAACTTCAACCCTTATCTAGGATCGAGTCGCGAATAAGGCTAAGAGCCGTGTATTGCATTCCCCCCTGACAAGGTCACGGAAGGCACGGACACAGGTCGGACAAGGAGAACATATGAATTAAAGGCGGGGCACTCTCGAGAGATTTGGATGTAGACAATGTGCGTCGCACGATGGCAAATCCTACAAAGGGGATCAGGCCTTGTATGGTGTAAGACCTTATGTTCACAAGTCGGTAGACTTTGCCGCTGATGGCGGTAGTATGTCCGGCGCGTGGCAGTGCCATTGTTATTGCTCGGTCTGTGTGGTAAGGACTTGGGTCGTTTGCTACCGTATTAACTGGTTCTGCACTGATGAATCATCAAAGTATCGTGACATGTGTTTTTGACTGAGGGACACGTGCCTGTGTTCTCCTTATCGGTTGTTTTTTTCTTGGATT